ATTATTCTTGGAAACTTAGTTTAAAGAGATGAACTATGAACTATCTCAAAGTATTGATTTATGTTTCATTTGGTTGGCCGATAAGAAGAAATTTTTACTATAATCTCGTGACGTGATAAAAAAATAAAAATATTCTTATCTATCGTTCAAATGAAGTTTTATTATAAGGATAAATCATCTATAACCAAGGATAGATCCTCTTTAGTTTTCCTTTAGAAAATAGAAGTCTAAGCATGGTATCCATTCGAAGTAAACTCAAAGATTCAGGGTATTCTTTGTTGCAATGCAAAATTTGCAACAATTACTGATGATTATTTTTGGCTTCGATTAAAGATTTCAAAGAGTTTTTTGTATTCTTTATTGCAAAATTTGCATGCACCTTTCTATTCACACCTTTTTCTCTTGATTAAAATGCTATACAGCCTTGAGATTTCTTTCACAATAGGCAAAAACACATCATTATATCAAGTCATGCCAAACATCCACTTCATGCCAATAGCATGTTTTCATAAAGGCACTTTGCATGGTTGCAGGGCCACTACCTTCCCTTTTTCTTTCACCAACAGAATAAAATGGCCATGCACCACCATCATATATTGTTTATGACTACTATCATATAAAGTGCCATCACCATGGATGGTATCATACCATTCATAACATTCCAACTCTCAGTTCAACCATATTTTGCACCTCCCATCTGCTTCAATCTAACAAACAAATCTCATACAGAATAGCAGCGAAATGGGTGGCAGATGGTAGTAAAGAATTGTATAGAATAAATCAGAAATAAATTCCAACTCTACTGAGTTTAGATAGGTCAAACAGAAAAGATAGAAAGTAATGATATTTTAAACAAACAATGGATACAACAATTAGATATCAGCAATGTTCTTACCCAACTAGAAGACAAGAAAGAAGGCCCTAGTATTCTTTTAGAATGCATGTGTTGGAGGGCCATTTGTTCATTAATTAAGAGCAATCATGCCGTTTCTCGTCACCCATTTCCATCACTTAATTTTATTCTCTTACTTTTCTCCTTTGCTCATAACCATCGGTGCCCAGATTTATTTGATAGTGGATTAGGTTTGGAGTAGGCCATTTTGAGTTGGGCCGAACCAAATTTATTTGTGTTTTCTTATTCTTGATTTGAGCTTGTTATTTTGTGTGTGGTTGCTGCGCGTGGGTGTTGTTTTTCCCAACAAGTGGTATCAGAGCGAGGTTCGAGGTTCGAGGTTCGAGGTTCGAGGTTTAAGGTTCGTGGGTCCAAGAGATCGTGAAGCAGTGTTTGAAGATGTCTGAAGAAGGTATGTCTGGTATGTCTATGCCTAAGTTTGAGATTCCGTTATTTGATGGAAAGAGTAATTTTATGTTATGGCAAAGTACGATTCAAGATCTATTAGTACAACAAGGGTTGGATCAGGCATTAGAGAGTAGTAAGCCTGAAGGAATGTCTGATGCTAATTGGAATAGGATTCAGAAGAAAGCCGTTAGTACTATTAGATTGGCGCTAGCTCCAGAGGTAAAATACAGTGTGTTGACTGAGAGTACTCCAAAGAGTTTGTGGGATAAACTTGAAGGTATTTATGCTTCGAAGTCGTTGACTAATAGATTATGTTTAAAGATGGATCTGTATTCTCTGAAGATGGAAGAAGGTATGAGTCTTCATAATCACTTGAATGAATTTAATAAATTGGTTTCTCAATTGTTAGCGATTTCTGTTGATGAGTTAAAAGATGAAGAGAAGGCTTTAATTTTGCTGTCATCTTTGCCCAAGTCTTATAGGCCTTTAGTTCAGACTGTGTTGGTAGGCAGGTCTACTTTGAAGTTGGATGATGTGACTGCCCTGTTGCGTGAGAATGAAAGGTTTATGGGAGTTCAGAACTCATCACCTGGAGGGAGTACACTAGCTGTAGAGGGTTTTGATCGAGGGAGGACTCAAAAGAGGATTGATGGATCGAGATGGAGATCCAAGTCAAGAGACAGAGATTACAGTGATGTAGAATGTTATTATTGTGGTGAGAAGGGACATATCCAAGTGCGCTGCAGGAAGCTGATAAGGGATATGGCTGCTTTCAAAAGGGCGAATGATGAAAAGAAATCAAATGAAAAAAAGAGTGATACTGCTGCTGTCGTGTCTGATGATGATGATGATGTTGTTTTGACAACTTGTGTGGATGAGACCCAGATTTTGAAAAGTGATAAAGGTTGGGTTTTAGATTCAGCTGCTACAGTTCATGTTTGCAATGATAGGAGCTGCTTTGTGGAGTTGAATGAGAATGAAAAGTATGGGATATTGTGGTTGTTAACAAAGAAAAGGTGCAGATTCAAGGCATTGGGAGTGTTTGCCTTAGATCTCACAATGGTGTTATTAGGACACTTCGTCATGTAAGGTATGTACCAAATTGTCACTACAATTTGATTGCTTTATGTGAGTTAGCTTCTCGGGGGTACACATTTTATGGTAGTAATGATTGGTTGAAAGTGTATAAGAATGATAGTGTGATTCTACAAGGGAATAGGGTCAATCACTTGTACATGTTTGATGGAGGCTCAGTTGCTGGAATGCCTGTGATGAAAGAAAAGAAGAAAGGTAAGCATGTTAGCTTCACAGATACTGTTGAAGTGTTTGGAGATTCAAGTCAAGGGAGGATTTGTTGGGATTTGCCTTGAATCTCAGAATCCCACATCGAAAGTTAAGTAAGTTTGAATTTGTCTTGTATCCCACATCGAGAGTTTAGTAAAGGTATAAAGGGTTTCACCCTTATAAATAAGATGTTTTGATTTTAGTTTAGTAACCCCAGAGAGTCAGACACCAAGAGAATAGCTAAGTAAGTAGGCTATTAAAGGGTGTAATTGGGTTTTGGGTTAAGTTTTGAGTAAGGAGTTTTAGGAGACTTCTCATTCTAAAAGTCTCACAATTGTAAAGATTTATTTGATAGTGGATTAGGTTTGGAGTAGGCCATTTTGAGTTGGGCCGAACCAAATTTATTTGTGTTTTCTTATTCTTGATTTGAGCTTGTTATTTTGTGTGTGGTTGCTGCGCGTGGGTGTTGTTTTTCCCAACACGAGCCTCATTTAAGCTGGACAGAACAAAATGATCCCGTAGGGGACCATGATAATGTGGATGTTTGTTAACCGAAAATTACACAAACAAGCAAAAGACACAGTTGCTCTGTACTTCCCAAATTTGCCATCTAGTTTTCATGTTCAATCAGCCAATGACTTCAAATTTCGAGTGCATGAGAAGAAAATCAACAAGATCATTAATCTTAAGCTAGATACTTGGTAATAAAGTTACCTTCAAGGAATAAAAGTATATGGCTTCATATAACCACTTAGAAATGTCAAATTTCTGTCTATATCCCTTGGCAATGCAATCTAGAAATGTTTTTTCTTTGTCTCTTCTCTCATCCTCTCTTGTTCTCATTTTGTTGTTGGCACACAAAAATTAAACAATTAAGTTTCCTATAACCCAATTTCTACAGGCCACTGATCAGATAATGACTGGCTGATGTCTCTTGGTTTAACTGTGAAGTGTTACAGGTTTAAAGTGCATGGCAAATTACATGGGCTTTGTGTATGGTTTTACCAATAAAAATGAATAAGAAACCAAGCAACAGTCTTCACCTACCAAGATCAATTTCCAAGCTGTGTGAATGCGCCACATATGTTAAGCTGGGTGGTAAGCTATCCAAGATTAGCATATATCACTGAAAGCACTTTCAAGTGCCAGAAAAGGTTCACCTAGACAAGGCCACAAGAGTAATAGAAATTTTCTCATCCTCTTCGCCTGTCTACAACTTCTCAAGCGTGACCAAGGCATATAGCAGTAAAGGAAAGGCAGAAAAGGACAAATAAGATAATATAACTATCCCTAATAAACTATAGTAAGCATGCAGCTTGGGTTGTCGTTGTCAATATGTTTCACTTCAGTTTTAACCAGTAGAGATACCTCATAAATCAACTTTCAAAGGTATAAAAGGGCAAATCTCTCCACACAAGGCTCCTCATTTGAAGCTATTTTCAAGACTCAAACTTGTGGGAGCAACCTTACCATTGCTCCAAGGCTCGCCCTCAACTTTTGAGGGTATCCAGAACTTTAAAAAAAAAAAAGTATCAGAGTAAGCTTAAGCCAAAGACGACCTTACTTTCAATTGAAAACAAAAATAACTTCAAATCTCTCCAATTACCATCTTCATCAAGAGCCCTTGTGAGAGCTTAATTGGCTTCCAGCGGTGCAACGTGCCCCAAACTGTCACCTCTTTTCAATCGTAAACGAGATTGCCAAAAATTGATTACATACTACTTAAAAAATAGGGAAACGAAAATGACATAATGTGTATATATATATATATATATATATTATATATATATATTGATTTCAAAATCATAATCAAATCACTGTCACATAAAATGTATATATCTAAAAATTATTTTATTTTCTGTATTTAGAGTTGTAATTAAGGGTTGTGATGATAACAATTATATTTTTTCGGTTGATGAAATTTAATTTGAACCACTAATAATAAGAATATTACCATCAAAATAAGATAATAAAATGTGCTAATCTTAATTATCAACAATAATTTTTTTTAAATTGATTATTAGCTATAGTTAAGTGTGAATTCTATTTATAATAATCCAAGTTTTTTATATTCCACTCCATGTCTTTGCATTATACTTGAAATTTTTTTATTTAAAATTGACATAATATAAATTTTGGTTACTAAAATTAAAAATCATAGTGGATGCAATAATTTTTCTTTGTATATATCATTTTTCTTAAATGTTTTTTTTTTAATAAAAAAGGGCAACACCCACGTGTAACATGAAGCGGGCCGGCTCCTTTCAAAGCTGACGCTTAAAAGTGACAAAAATGGTGACATTAATGGGCTTAACTGGCCCACTTAATCTCCATTGGTTCGTTGCTTCATGACGCGGGCACGTCCTTAACAACAAAGTTCGTTGATCGTTTACCGGAAGTCAAAAAAAAAAAAAAAATGGAGACAAGAGAAGAGCAAGTGAGTTTGATTCCAATAGCGGTTGTAAATAACTCTGAAAATAGCGGCGAATCTGTTTGTTTGTCGTCTTTGGTTTCTCGATCTTCGAGCAAAGAGGTTTTCCATTTTTTTAATGATTTTTTCTGCTCCTTTGCTATATTAAATGCGGCCAAGTCTTCTGGTTTACTCGTGATTCTGCATTTCATGCTTCAAGTGAAGATGTTGTTACCATCTTGCTTTACACGGCTCAGATGCAGATTTATGATTAGCAATTAAATTTTCAGGAGATTCATCCATGAATGTTTGGTTATTCTTTTGATTTTTTTACTAAATTAAGATGTATCAGACTATGCAGAGCATCAATTCAGATAAAATTTGTTGAAAATTTTCAGATTTTGCAGTTTAAGATGGTTCAATGCAACTCTTCTGTGCAGGCATTTTACAAAGTCATTCGTAGCTGGGCCTCCAAAAAGTTTATGACAGGATGGTTAGCTCTTCTCCTGCTTAAATGATTTACTTTGAGCATTCATTCTTGCTTCATCCTAATCCTATATATAAAAAATGTTCTCCTTTTCCAAATTTTGTGGTGCTTGTTCAAATGGTTTGTGTAAATCCTTAATTTCTGCAAGTTTCTGCTCCTTTTGGCTAGCCTTGAATATCATTTTTGTAATCATACCCCATTTTCTAGAATCTAGTTCTAAATCTGCCTTTTTCTTGGGAAAATTACCTAGGGGGTTGAAATTGAAATTTATGATCATGGATCTCGTCTTCCTATCAAGTCAACATGATTGCAGATATATTTGACTCATATCTGACATTTTGTTTTGCAGTGTCATTTTACTTCCTATAGCAATTACATTCTACATCACTTGGTGGTTCATTGATTTTATGGATGGATTCTTCTCCCCAATCTATAAGCATCTTGGGATCAATATATTTGGTTGGTAATTGGTATATTGTCTCTTTTTCATTCCTTTGCATGGTATAGTTCTCATTAATAGTATACTATATTTTTTCATGGTAACCAATTCACAGGTCTTGGATTTGTGACCTCTATCACATTCATCTTCATAGTTGGTGTGTTCATGTCCTCATGGTTGGGAGCATCTGTTCTTAGTTTAGGAGAATGGTTAATCAAGAAAATGCCCCTAATTAGCTATATTTACTCTGCTTCGAAACAAATAAGTGCAGCAATATCACCAGGTAAGCACAAGCATTTTCTGGTTTCAGCATTTCAAAGTCTACATAAGATTCCTAATTACATTGGCATCAATTCCAGATCAGAACTCGCACGCATTCAAGGAAGTGGCTATCATTAGGCATCCGCGGGTTGGAGAATATGCTTTCGGCTTTATCACTTCAACGGTTGTTCTTCGTGGGAGTTCAGGTTCAGAGGAACTTAGCTGTGTTTACGTGCCCTCCAACCACCTCTATATTGGAGACATATTTCTCATAAGCTCAAAAGATATTATAAGGCCTAACGTCTCTGTTCGAGAAGGAATTGGTAAGATTTTCAGGCCAATGTATATAAAAACCAGACGAATTTATGTTATCTTGGTTGGGGCAGAAAAATAATCTTGTTTATAATTTTCATTTGATGTAGAAATTGTCATCTCTGGTGGCATGTCCGTACCTCAGGTATTGACCACAGTGGATGCACAAGCCATTGATATAGCTGGACTCGAAAATTTCAACAAACCACAAGTTAATGGCGGCTAACTAATGGCTATACATCCTTATGGTGAAGCTTCTGGCCGTTTTTGCATGCTGAAGTGGTTCAAAGTTTGGCTTCATGAACCGTCTATGGTTGATATCGAGAGCCTAAAAGGCATACGGAAACCAATATCCTTTTTATTAAATTGTATATTAATGTGTTTGAAAACTTAAATGTCGTTGAACATGCATGCTTGGCTGGGATAGCATCAAATGTGAATGAGACTGAATCTTAAAAATAATTTTGGTTTTGTTTTTCTCAGTAATGGTACATTAGTTGATGGTATATTGATGAAAATTGAACTTCATTGTAAGCTGATGTTTTGTGTTTGCCTTTTCATTGGAAATTCAATCAGGAAAAAACAAAAATAAAGCACCTTTCTCGGGGAGAGGGATTAAAGTGTAAGTAACCGTTGATTATAAATATTTTTAGTACGTTAGAACAACAATTCCGTTGTCGTCCAGCGGTTTAGGATATCTGGCTTTCACCCAGGAGACCCGGGTTCGATTCCCGGCAACGGAAAAATTTTTGTTTTTTACCAGAATAACGCATCAGATTTTCAAAGAAACAATATTCGCAACCGAAAAGCATGGATTCATAGACCCAAATATTGGAATTTACCTCAAAAGGACCATCGGCTTAACCATGTTTTGGGTTGTTAATAATTTGATTAATCAATGTAGATATCGGTTTTGTTTAGTTTTATTTTAATAATAATAATGATTTTAAAACTAATAACAATAAAATTGATTTAATTAAAATTAAAAATTAATAAAATTAATTTAAAAAGAAAAAAAGAAAGACAAACAAAAAAACTCAAACGAAAAAAAACAAAATCATAAAGGTTGGTATCAATATATGCCGTGCACGGCACTACCGGTCACCCACGCCCTTGCCTTAGCCATCATTCCACCCACCCATGTCCTATCCCCTCACCAGAGCCTTGTTCACCTCTAAACCACCTCTGTTAACACCCTATTTCACGCCAAAAGCCACATGCCCTGTCAATCCCACATCTATATAAATCAGATCTCTCCCAAGCATATATTCCTCTCATCGAGCACCCATTTGGACACTATCAAAATCCATACACAGAGAAGAACCCCAGGCATCAGTCGCCCAAACCCTAAAACCTCTACCTACGTCCAAACACAAAAAAAACCCCTAGTTTTCATAACCCGAAACCTAGCTTTCACACCCAACAAACCCCTAACTATAAAATCCCCACCTATCAGAAAGCATAAAAAAAAACAAAAAAAAAATCCTCCCCGTAGGGAGGAACTTAGCACTAAGCTTCTTACAAAAAACAAAAGAAACACATCAGTTTAAAAAAAAAGAAGAAGAGAAAAACAGAGAACGTCAAAAGCTTCAAGCCCCGATCTACGACAATTATGGTTGTTTTCGACGAAAGGGTAATCGAATCTAGAAAGAGGACCATGAGGTGAATTTTTTGAAAGATTTTGGTGTTTTTCGGCCACCAGCAACGATCGTTAGCAGTGACCCAAGCGACGGCTGACGCGACGGATCCAGAGGCTGGACGATGAGAGAGCTCTGAAGTTTTTTTTTTTTTTCTGAAGAAGAGGAGAAATATGCTAAAAAAATAGTGTTTTATATAGGAAGAAAATAAGCAAAACAACGTCATTTGGGTATGGGAGGATCCATGCGTCAACCCGGATCTGACCCGGGATCCGAGCGACCCGACTCGGAGACCCATCCTTCAGCAAGCCCCTAACCGGTTCAACTGAACCACTCGCCAAACTGCCCTCATTAGGTTCAACCGAATTGAACGATAGAACTGGTCAGACCGATCCAGACCAGCATTGACTGGATTGTTGATCGGTCCGGTTCAAATAAAAAAATTTTTTTTATTTTTTATTTTTTATATATTATTATTTTGTTATTTTGAATTTTATTTTTAATGTTCATGCATGATAATTTTTTAAATTTATTAGAATAAATATTTGAGTATTTTTTAATAATAATAAAAATGAAAATAAAGTAGGATAATAATAAAAAAATACTAAATGCTTAAAAAATAATAATAATATAAAAATAGTAATAAGAATAAAATATTTTTATTTTTCCTGCCTAAATGTTAGAGGAAATAAAAAAAATATAATTTCACCTAGATGTTAGAGAATTATATAAATTTTTTTTAATAATAATAATAAATTAATTTTTTTAATAATAATTTTTCATAAAAAAAGAGAGATTTTTTATAATTAATTTTTGAAAAATGATAAAAAAAATCAAACTTATTCCGAAAGTCCGCCTAGATATTAGAGATTTTTAGAGATGTTCGCATTTTAAAATTCAAAAAATTTAAAAACCCAAACCCCAAAAATAAAACCTTAAATCCTTCAACCTAAACCCTAAAACCAAATCCTAAAACTTTTAAATCTTAAATCTTCTAAACCCTAAACTAAAACTCCAACCTCAAACCCCAAAATTGAAACCCTAAAATCTAAAATCCCAAATCTAAAATAAAAAATTCTAAAAACCCCAAATTTGGTACGCATTCATGAATCATCATCATCAAAAGTCACCAAATTTTTAAAACATCGACCTAAACTTATACCCTAAACATTTTCGAAACTTTAATGAAACATGCAAAAATTTTAAGTGGAGTAATTTATTTTCGAATGCTGCCTAGATGACGGGGTATTTAAAGAAATCTTATTCCATTAAGTTTTTCTCATGAATCCTTAATTCACTTTAACAATGGGGTTAATGACCAATAAATAATAAGAACAATAATAAAATGGGATCTTAAATATAAACAGTCATGTCTAAATTCTGCCTAAATGTTGAAGAGTCAAGGTGGTCTTATTATATTTAAGATCCATTTTTTTAAATTGCATTTATCATCTAGAATAATATCCATAGGCATACACGCATCACTATATTATTGTTGACGTTCATTTCGTATTTCTTTGTCTTTAATTTGTGTTTGTTACCTGACAATATCATTATTTACTTTCTTTTATAAAATGTTTTACAAGACAAATATATATATATTTTTAAAGTTGTGATGTTATAAAATAAAATAAAAGTAACATTCCGAAAGAAATAATTTTTGGTATTCTACCTAGATATTGGAGAGTCACAAATAATTATCTTCCATAAAGAGTATTATTTTTTATTTTAAAGAATATTGTGTTAAATCTTAAGCGAAAAAAATTATTTTAAATTATACCTAGATGTTTAAGAATTTTAAGATAATTTTTTAACTTAAAGATTTCTTCAATATTCCTAAAAAAAAATTTAACTAAAATTTATTTTTTAAAGTGAAGAAAATTAGTATTAAATTTTAAATTAAAACTATTTTTGTCTAATACAAAAAATAACGCATAATTAAATGGTATCAATTTATGGGCGTTGTAGGGGCGCTAATTCTTTCCCACACGTAACCAATTCCCGGATCCAATCTGATTTTTATAAATCAAAATTTATCTTTTTGATAAACTTTAAACTCGTTTTTATAGTTTTATTAAAAAGATAAACTTTTGGGTAACCAATCACATCCTAAAAAATATTGGTGGCAATTCTTTATATTTTTTTTGATTTTAAAACACTTTACATCTGACAACCCCAAAATCGTTATGATAATCAATAATCAATGACTTTCTTATCTATTTCTAGTTTTATTGACATGCACACTAGGGATAATAATAATTTAATTTAAATCGGATTCAATTTAATTTTTTTAGATATTATGTAATATTATAAAATTTTAAAATTTGAATTAAATTCGATCATAATTAAATAAAATCAAAATTTATAGATTCGACTTAGATTTATAGATTTTTAATTTTTATATATTATATTAATATATTTAAATAAATTTTGATATAAAACTATTATTTTTATTTTATAAAAATTTAAAAAATATATAAAATTAAATTTAATTCAATTTTTTTATTTTTTAATTCAAAATTTAATTCAAATTTAATATATATATATATATTTAATAGTTAAATTTAATTTTTAAAAAAATTAAACTAAATCAAACACTATAATTTTCAATCGAATTTCGATTCAGGATTTTTCGACTTTTCTTAGCCCTAATCCACACAGCCTTTTACAAAATCAGCTCCCTCCAACACCAGTCATTATCCACAGTTCGGTAGAAAAGAGAGCTTTTCTTTAGGGCAAATTTTCAACTCTGCACAATCAGTCTACAACCTAACAATTAATCTTCAGAAGGACAAAGGGTTCATGAAAAACCCAAGATCTGGAAGTTAGAGAAATGAAATGACGATAAAACGAACCTCAAAGTGGTCGTTACTGGGTTTTCGTTCTTGATGAAACTGCCCTTTCCCAATCACCACTTGCTCAAGCTTCAACTTACTATAAGCGCTTTTCAAAATGCTGACACTGTTAAAAACCCACTTCATTCAGTTTCTTCTCAAATCTCAATGCCAGAAGAAAACTTGCAGAAAAGGCCACAGATATACCTCAACAGATACTTGTATACGTCATTGAACTCCTGAATCTATTTTTACAAAAGAAAAAGCCATAAAATGTAGCTGGTTAATAAATACAAAGTAATAAGGAAACTGATACTGCAATGTACAGCATGAAGCACATCAACAAAGAGGAAGAGGATCATAATAAAAATGATGAGAAACTGATGGACTTTTTGAGTGTTGCTTATAGTGATTTGTTCTTAATGAAGAACAAAATACAGTGGTCAACCGATTTCTGTGGGTACAATTTGCATTTGCCTTTATGTGGTTTCAATTATAAGGTGATTTGAGAGAGAACTAGAAAACATGTTACAAAGAATATACAGTATTCAGGGACTTTTCAAGCAAATGGAATTTTCCACAGTGTTCAACTATCTGCTCTACAGGTGGATAGAACTCTGTCAGATAAACAAGAAAACAGAGTAAATGGAGTTGCGAAGCTTTCTTACACAGCAAAATTTTCAAGCATTTTCCCAAGGGAGGTACATGATCCATCAAAGGCAGACTCTAGGAGATCAGGGTGGTTGCAATTCTTCCAAAGCTGCATCATCGAATTGATAAGCTTCCCTTTTATACCACGTCCTGCAATATTGCAAATGTCAATTATCATACAAAAACTCAACTAAATACACTGTAGAATACTTATAATCAAGATTTTGAGTTTATTTATCATTGAAGCAAGAAATTTTATGAATATCAATTTCTATGTTCCAATGCCTTTTTCTCATTTTCCTCAAATTGAAACGTTAATAATGTAGCTTCTACAATTATAAGTCAAAACTAATCTAATACCTGTGTTTCCCTTCTCTTGTAGATATGTTTCCAAAGTTTTATTAAGCAAATGATCCTGGAAATTCCTCTGATGCTCAGCCAAGGAAGCATATAATATGATCTCTTTTTTACGAGGGAGCACCTGCTCAACATCAGCCTTCATTCTTCGAAGAAGAAAGGGAAAAACCCCAAGAATTATACTTCATTTGTAAATTGTTGTTTAAGGAGAGGTGGAGGAAAACAGTCAGAAAGATGCACACTTGAGCCCTTCTCTTCTCTTCCATTTCTTCCCTTGACACTTCATCATGCCACCAATAAAATAGAGTAAGACAAGGCAGCAAAATCTCATCAGGCAAAAGAAAAAAAGGCACATTCATGAATTTTTACCATCAAAGAATAAAAACCCCGAACAGGGAATATTAAAGCATGCTTTCCAGCAAAATTCAATGACCTTAGGGGCCAACAAAGCATTTCCAATGTTTTCCAAGTATGTAATAGTGTTAAAGATGCAAGAGTTTCATAATAAGCACTCAGATCAACATTAGAAATCAATATAGTCAACAAAGTAATTGTGGAAGAGTAAGCCCATGATCATGAATGGAATATTTATGCCTTTTATACCTTTATTTAATTCAAATTTCACGTGAAACTAGTTAAATATAATATATGAGATATGTTATAGTCTGAAATATCTTCCTCTAGTGAGTCTCGTGAGCCTGGTTTATTGGTCTAACACTTGAATTTTTATTTTCAAGAAATGATTCAAGTATGACAACTTGAAGTCTTAGACAAAGAAAATTTTATTTGAATAATAACAAATATTCCATATTTTTATTCCAGATTTCTTAACTCTATGTCTATATGAAGGATTAAAAAAAACAAAATACATTATGAGATTGGCTAAAAAGGAAAGCACAAGATTATGTAGATAATATTATAGTTACAATTCACCAGGTAGATATTGAAATTGTAAAATGTAAAATTTTGCATCAATCAAATAGAATAGTAAGTACAAATTGTTCTCAAATTTATAGGACTAACAGTGTTAAAAAATTCTTTTATGGCAATGGTGAAAAATTGGAAAAATGTGTTAAGAATTGATATGCTCCTCAAGAAGAAGCTTTCTGCTACCGAAACCAAAAGGTTGAGATTGCTCATTATAAGATTGAATGATAAGATGAAGCCAAAAGCTCATCAAAAGATTAAAAGCCCTGACATTGACATCTTATGTTATTCAGCCAAAAGGTTTCTTACATAACTATCAGATAAAATGTGGTAGACACAGTTTCTATTTAACTAGGAACCATGGCAAAATGAGATGCCAGGAAGAGGAAAAGAAGAAAAAGAAAAAGGAAAGGAAAAGAAACACACTGTGGTGGAGAAGTTTTGCCATGAACTGGACAAGAAATGAATCTCCACTAACACATATAAAACCCAAATCTTTAAGTGAAAATAATTGACAAATGGTTCAGTCTGGAGTGCTGAAGTTCTATGCAGTGTGGATGTAGAGTTGCTCTCAGCTGAGAAATTCCACCGGTAATAGGGCAAAAAAGAACTCAATCAAGACAGCTTGCAAAGGTTTTCAAATCCCATATACTCTTCATTTTCCAGTTTTTCAACCAGATCAGCAATGCCAACTCCACCTGTAACATTCAGGAAAATGTGGTCGGCTTCTTACCATTTTGAGAGGTTCAATTCAAGTGACTTGCGTTTCAAGATAACCTATTGGAAGCAAGAAAGCATTGTACCTAAACTGATTGCACTGATAAAGATTGTCAAAGCTAGTATGAAGATGATTATCGATGCTCTTCCTAGGACTGCAATAATCTTTCTGACTACATGCTGGCCAGTGAAGGCAGCGATTGTTGCTACTAGAACAAAATAAGCAGCTGCATGGGAAAGAAAGTAAACACCAAAGCTGTTAGTGGTCAAAATTTAGATTTTTTTGTAATTGCTAAAATTGATTCTGATAGTAAATTTTTACTGTTATTGCCACTTACCATATGGGATTGGGAAACGATTGAGAAGATAATATTGTACAACTGACATTGAGGAGGAAAATGCCATAGCAAACGTTGATGTTGCACTAGCTACCTGCCCAAGCATTGTAGTTTTGTGAAAATCCGCTGCATTTAATATGTCTTTAGATACAAAACATGAATCAGAGCTTGATCATATATCTGTTTCAGCTTCTTGTGCATTCATACTTTGATATTTGCTACTTGAGTTAGTACTTAGAATTTTCTGTTAGTTCCTCAATGATGAATTCTGGGGTTCTGAACAATTTTCAGAATGAATGGTCTTCAAGGATGGAATTCATGGTAGAACATACACTATTGTTTTCACAGTTCCTGAGAATCACTAACTGAAACACAGTGACTAGGAATTTCTGAGTGAAAAATTCGGACCACTGTAAATTTGTCTTAATAATTACTTGTCATATATCCATCCCCACCTTGCCTTCATGATTTACATTAAATAATACTAGTTAAGTATACCTGAGGAGGAATTCCCAGTTCAAGGAATAGAGGACCCAAGATGAAGCCACCTCCAAGTCCTAGCAACCCACCAACCATGCCAGCTATTATGCCACAGGAACAGTAAAGAAGAATCTGATATATCTTCCAATTTGTGACTTCCTTTCCTTTGGAAGCAATCACCCTGGTCCCTTTGTATAAGCATATGGCTTCAAAGAGTGTCACAGAGGCAGCAATTGGTATCTATAGAAAAAAAAGGCAACAATTCAGTTGAAGAGATTTTAGCCCCGAGAAATTCTAAATTCTCTCTTCTGTAAACAAGTGCTTCTCAAGCTTTATTTAAAGTGCACTAAGATTTTATCTCCATTTTGTAAGATTCATGCAAAGGCAAGTAATTTAATGAGTGCAACAAGCTCTTTGTATTCAAGAGACCATTCTTTATAAAAAAGATATGTGTGAACTTTGCTGCCCCCACTTACTTGAGAATACTTTTTCTAGTTTTTCACATTGAAATGGAATCAATCATATTGTAAAATACTTAAGAAAGTTCACGATAGGTATAAAAATCAATTCCCTTCCATTTGTCCAGATACTAGAACAAGTTTTTATATAGAATTTCAAGTTTCTACCTGCAAAGAGTTCACAATCCAGTAAATGATTGAGCAAGTTGGAAGATATTCCTGCATAAAAAAACTTGTGGATGAAATTAAGCAAAGACAAACTTCACATGGAGAATGCTAAAACTAAAGACAGATGATTATGCAGAACTCATTGATGATAGTGGACTATGAAAAAAGAAGGAGACCGCGGGGAACCTTCAAAAGCCTTATCCTAGATTTATCAAGATGTTATGGACAATATTAGCATACCTTAATAATCTGAACGATGAGAAAACCAATCCACACATATACTAGCAGCGATAACTCTTTCCAATATATGTTTTGTATTAGAGGAACCTGAATTGAATGATAACAGCAATAGCCAATTATAACAATGATAAGAATAACATTGTGTTTAAAATAGAAGAGTATTATTGTAACAAAACTGAAATGTGACTGAACTCACTTCATCTTCTGGCAGGGTGCCTGGACCACTAGGTAATGGTTTATAATCTTGAGCAGCTCCATCTGCAACTCTCAAGTTTAGCACAAGTCATTTCAATATTTGAATCAACATAATGAAATTCCTTTATCAAAAGACCTTTGTAATTATCTTGAGATTCTCTCCTTTCACATGTTATTTGTCATACAAACTGTCATTTGAATCTGAATCCATTTCTTACTTCTTGTTTGAACCTTGAATGGATAATTTGTGGCCCAAAATAGTAAATGGGAACTTGTCTGTTAAGCCTGCATTTTAACTACTGACAAACTGCTTATGTTTGGTTTCAAGCGTTTTCTTTTTCACAGATGGATTTGCAATTGGTTCTTATCTTAAAAAACCAGTTACCAATCTAAGTGACACTTAAATGAGGAAGTTGTACTTGGAGGGAATCATAAGATACTCACTAGCTGATTTGGACTCTTCTGCTTCCAACTTGTCTGCTTCCTGAAAATAAAATCTCAAAATCCTCATTTAACAGTCTTATACCAAAGGGAAGAAATCCATGGAAGAGAACCCAAGTTGAAAAGTTTACCTTTTTCATCATTGTCTCTTTCTTCCATGTATCTATACCTTTGAATAAGGCTTTTGTTGATGTACCTGGCATTGATAAATTTATGAATCTATATCAGAGAAAACCATCACAGATCATGAAATCATAAATAGTAAAGAAATAGTATCATCCTAGCTGGCATGTCCTATTCCTGGCTTTGAAGGACTAAGATTTAAACTTGAATCCTGCCTAATGCTATCTGTTTTCCTACTGCATACACTGTTTACTTTGTGAAAGCTCTGCTGGATAACCCTGCTCTTTTAATTTTGAACAAAAGCCTTTTCATGCAATATCTTTGGATTGCCATTAATGATCCTTAAGAAAATGAGAAAAGCTAATTTTAAATTTGTGTGAGAGAGAAAAAAACCAATGATGGAAATGAAATAGAATATCCAAAATTATGCTGTTATTATTTATTATTACCAATGAAGAGGATGATAAGCAGAACTGTGACCATCCAATCAGCAAACATGACATTTAGGGCAACTCCAATGCTGATTCCAAGCATAAGCATGGGCTGGAAGAGCAACGCCAAGTCATAATCTATGAGGGGCATTTCCAGTGTTGGGTGCCTAAGTCTCAGGTTATAGTATACTGATGACCCAGCTGCACCCATGATCATACCTGCAATCAAAACTCTCTTTGTTATCTGTACATATGATTAGTACTGACTATAGTACTAATGTTATGGTCAGAGGAATCTGCAAAAAATCGGATAAGCCTAAAAGCATCAAGCTTACTGATGTTAAATTATGTTATGGTCATGCTTGCTGCAGACATGCAATTAATACTCGTCTGCACATTTATATACTAGTAAATTCATGTCTGCATGTATGTATATATGACATGAATACAGACAGGTTTCTTGAAAACAAGATAAAGACATGCATACTAGCATGCAAGGTTGATGCATAAAGGTTAAATTACATGAATAAAACAGGATTATATTTGAGCAAGCAGAAACTCACACTTGGAAATGGCAGTGGAAGACTTGGGGTCGAAACCTATTATGAGAGCGAGCATTGGAACAAAAATTCCACCACCTCCAACCCCTCCAACGCTACCCAAAGCTGCACCAAGGAATCCGACAATTGTTCCTGCAACTATTTTCCAACCAAACTCCATCTCCTGCTCAATCAATAATTAAATTCAATATCACAGTAAACAAACTTGAAAGATTAATGACAAAAAGAGATTGAAAAATCATCATCAGCTGGGCATAAGAATTCATTGTTTGGAAAAGTTTGAAAAGTTTTCCTTCTTCTTGATGTCCAACAAGCAGAAAAAATAGCAGCTGTAGTTAAACGACCTAACTAGATAACTCACCGGCCAAACTGGTTCATAAGCAGACTTCCCACCTTGCCAGAGGAAGCTGGCAACTCTAACTAGAAATCCTTGTGTTTCTTCTTTTTCTTTGAAAAGTTCATGATTCCTTTTGTCTTTCAATAATCTCTCTGCAATCCCCACATTGCTTATCATGACAAGAACCAGAAACACCAGCCATGCCATGATTGCCAAGCCTCTCTGTTTCACCCCAATTTGAGCCATTTTGGCAACTGCCCTGAATTGTTAGCAAAGAGGGAGAGATTCTATGAATTAGCAATTCAAATGAAAAACTTTTCCCGGGTTTAAGTTTACTTACTTCTCTTCTTATTCCTCTCTGCTATCAATACAGTAGCATACAAATGGAAGAAAAGTAGAAAATATTGAGAAATAATGACTTCACTCCTTTGGTAACTCCCTGGTGTCTACATTTATAAATCCCTCTTTGTCTTTCTCCTTTCCTATTGTACGCTCGACCACATGGTCCAATGACACAGTTCCTTTTTTCAGTAAATAATTTTTTTAACTCCTATTTTCCCATAAAAAAAAAAAAGGAACTGGTAAGAACTCTTATTTGTCCTGATCCAGTCCATGAAGTTAGAACCAAGAATTAGGGTGTCATAGAAATGAACTTTGCATGGGCAAATGAGAGCCTAGACTTCAATCTTACTGTTCTTTTTATCAATCATCATCACTCCCTTTTAGCAATTTTCTTGGTGGTGACAGTGGCTGATGTTACTAAAACAAGCTGTCCCCACTCTTACTCTCCGTTTTCTAAATCTAGGCCAATCCAAATCAGATCCTTTCCGTCCTAAGCTTACGCGGCAATGGAAGCTTCATGGCTGTTTCCAAACTCATTGGCTTACAAACTTCTTTCCATTGATTGAAATGACACAAGAAAAAAAAATCTTTCCAAAATGATTTTTCGTAATAAATAATTGATCAAACTATATTCCTCCAGGCTCTATCCCAATTTTAATGTTGTTTTTAAACTTTTTCTCTTATGCTTTGCTTCGTTGAAGTAGTAACTAGTAAGGCCTTCAACACGAGTGACAATAACAAGCTTCCTTTCATAACATCTGTTGCCCTTAAATGGCCCTATAATCATGTGAAAAAGTGAAGTGTGGCAAGCAAATGATGAAGCTAAATCAGAAGAGCAAAGACAAGGCAAGTCAGGTTTGGAGGAAACTTCCCCGAAGCATCATATCAAGTTTCAAACATTTTAGTACGAAACAACAAGCAATAGGATCTTTAAGTCATAATAAAAGGGATTTAGCCCCAAATCACAGGCTTTGAGTACTGCTTAAATTTTTTATGCTGATTTACGGTAAAGCAATGAAGCTTCATAGCTCCTACGCACTTCCATACAAGTCCCCTCAAACATTTCCTTCTTTAATGTTGTTATCCATGTCTTTAGCTGGTTTTGGAACTTTCTGGCCCCTTTGTGGCCAAGAAAGCTAGCTTCACTGAGACATCAGACCACCAGTTTTTAACGTGTGCAAGACTAGCACAATTCACCTGCATTGGAACTAAAAACTACAGATATAAAGTTGAAGAATGGAACAAACTAGGTGTCACATGTTGTAAAAACTTTGAAAGAGATTAATGTAGAATCCATCGCATTTTGATAGTTGATTTTTTTTTTATACGTCAAGTTTCGCTGATTTGTCATTGAACTCAATTAAATAATTTTCCAATAAAATAATTATGGAAATAATAAGAACTAATCAAATACGAATTCATGAGCTAATTGAGGGCCCAAAAAGCTAACATCACGAGTCCAATAAACAAGCAAGATGGGCTCCCATGAGGCCGAAACTTTTTTTGCAACAAACCCAACATTTGCTTGAAAAGCCCAAAGTTTCAAAACTTTTTGTCTCAACGTGGGCATTTATTAACACAAGGGCGAGCGGTGCACCTCCACTCTTGTTCCGTTCATTGGAGAGCTTCCGGAGAAACCTGTCCCGGTCACATTTTCCTGCTAATGAAGCCTTTCGTGGAGAAAGCTTGGCTCCAAATCTTAAACCCAACCCTGTTTTCAATCTATTGTGTAACCAGAATTCTTAAATCCCAACTCAGGAGAAACTCTGTCGAACATATTCTCCAAGCTCACCTAATGGCCCAAGATAGCCTTTCGGAGTGCACGAAGCCAAAACGGCGGCATGGCTCAATTCCCGAGAAAGCTGTTTTACCTTGAAGAGCCTCTCCTATCACCGCTGGTTATGATTTTTCTCGGCCATACTAGTAACTTTTTACCATCATATTCAATTTTAAAAAATTCTTTACCAAATTCTATGTCGTCGAAATTGGCAGCGCGGGGGAGGTTGCGGTGTCAGCGACAGGGACAGCTTTGGTCCCAACTGATTTAAGCATTGGGATACCAGAAGGAACATATGCTTGTGTAAGTAAATTAAATTATATAACTTTTTTCAAGTTATCAGTATCAGAAGTTTATAACTTAGATTTTCCTAAACAAATGAGTTTTCTTTTTTCTTTTAATTTGGTTTTGTTAATCGTGAAGCGCGAAGATCTGGGTTGGCATTGAAGAATTCCGTCGATGTTGGAGCTGGGGTGATCAATGGTGATTATAGAGGACGTGTTCGGGTGATTCTGGTTAATCATTCTGATGTTGATTTCCAGGTGAAACATGGCGATAGGATTGCCCAGTTATGACTCCTAAGGCTTTGGAAGATGAGGACTTTGGATTCTACTCTCAGAGGAACTGAAGGATTTGGGTCCACCGGGATTTGGTCATTTCTCTTATTTTCTTTGTAGATGCATTAGTGTTAGATTTTGTTTTGTTCGATGGAGACGGCCTTATGGAAGATGATTATGATCAAAAGCCACAGCTTTGGTTTCTTTTGGGGCTCTTGGGCGTATGATTTTCTTTGTAAATGACTAGATGGAAACACTGCTTGACATTGTGATTACATCAGATAATCTAGAACACAAATGAATGACACAACAAAAATAAAATAAAAATGAGACAATTTAAAATTTTAATAATAATTATACAAATTTAATAAAATTAAAATATATATTTTATATTTTTACATCAACATAAATCATAATATATAATTTTTATATAAAATATAATATAAATACATAAATTATAATATTTTATATGATATAAATACCCTGAAATTTAATTAGAATGAAATTATTCTAAATTCCAAGAAATTGTGCAGACTTCAGCACTGAACATACTCTTTCCGTCCTGCCAAAGATGCATATAGTAACAAATGATGGTGAAACGATGCGAAATTATGACCAGCTAACCCGGTAAAATCATTAGGCATATGCAGTTCCAGGAATAAGCCAAGCTAAGGTAATAACCTTGTATGGATGGATGGTGGTAGACAGGAAAAAACTACTCTTAGAATCAAAGAGAACATCAGAGCGACAATAATACAATAACGTTCATTACCCATTTCATCCATCTTAAGCAAAAGGAGAGCAAACACAACAGGTCAGTAGCGTAATAAAGCTTAATACAGCATAACAAGTCTAAATAAAAATTAAAAATATTGTAAATAAAATAAAGCAGGGTTCCAACTTCAAAGCAACACACTCCTGAACTAGGAATTAAACCACATCATAGAGAAAGCATATTGAGTTCCCTGAGGTCTAAACTAAACCAGCCGCATTGGGAGAAAAGGCAGCCTATATTCAACAAAAGTGACCTCGCCAGAAATTGATTTTTCAGATAATCGTAATTCACCTATAATCATCTTCCTCCATCCCATCATATCGATCCTGGTCATGGTCAGCATATTTATCATAACGATCACGGTCACCATGGGCATCTAAATCATATTCTCCTCGACCTCGATGATGCTCATACTGTTTGTAGTGTTGGTCATCTAGGTCCGCACGCCTATGCCCATGATCATGCTGTTCATACCACTCATGATCGTCATCTGGCTCACCACGATCATAATCCCTCTCACTAGGCCGGTCCCGCTCATGTTTGGACTCAACACGGTCATAATCAGATTCCCTATCCCTAGAACGCCCACGGTCGCGGTCATAGTCACCAACATCATAATCCCTGTCCCTTTCACGATCTCTTTCTCTATCACGCTCACGATCCCGACCTCTATCACGATCACGTGCTCGATCACGATCACGACCACGGTCTCTCTCTCTTTCCCTATCTCTGTCTCTGTCTCTAGTTCTTTCACGATCTCTATGGTGTCTATCCTCTCTATCACGATCCCTTGGTCTGTCATGGGAGTGCTCGCGAGACTTTTCTCGCTCCCTCTCCCGTTCTCTTCCTCTTTCACGGGACTTTTCCCTTTCCCTATGATTTCCAAGATCAATCATATAATTATAATATATTATGGTGACACCAAGGAAAAAGCATAGAAAATGGTTCTTATTAGATTTCCCAGCAAAAGTACACGGGATGAATAATTTTGACATTTGTGCTGAAATAAGTATTCGCCCATCACACCTTTTAGATTTTACCAGATACTGTAATGATAAAAATTGGTGGAAAAACTCAGCTAATCTTACCGGTCAACATGTCGATCTTCTCGAATCCTTGGCTCCTCAGAACGAGATACTCCTGATTGAACTTGCTCCCTGATTAGCAAAAGAAGATAGCATTTAATTTGTAGAAAATAAAAAATCAAACTGAGCCTGACATAATTTGTCATCCAAGCCTGGTAATAATGGACTTCAAGTTACCAAACATCATAAGTTGAGAGGAAAAATATATGAGAGCATAAGCCAAGAAAAATTTTAGGAGTGCAGCTTAGCTCAAAGTATCTCCCATCTGCAAAGCAATTACAAAGGGGAAATCTGATAAAAAGCATCGTTGGTATTCTATTTTTTCATTTCTTACTTGTCACTTGAATGTTAATACCACCAATTTAAGCAATTTCTACCAAGTACTAATTTTGAAACCTTTAAGACAGATTTTCATCTTTTACAGGGTCTGTTTATGCATCAGCATTATAATATGTATAGCCACCTCCAAATACCTTTGAATAACATCTTCACCTCCAACCCTGGTTGTTCCAAGTCCACCACCTAGCCTACGAGGGCGCCAATTTGGGACTGTCCTACCACGCTCAACATCCACAAGAACCCTTCTGCCATCAATCTTCCTCCCATCAGCTTGTTTATAAGCACCTGTGAGATGTTCGAAAGCAGAGATTAACAAACCTCTCAGAAGGCTACCAGCGCAAAAATAATTTAAACAAACCTTTCATATCCCGAGTATGCATGTACTCGATGAAAGCATAGCCTCTGGGTTTATTTGTGGATTTATCAGTAACCAAACGAACCTGGTGATCTCACAACAGTAGAAATAATTAACAAACAGTTGGAAGATATATACAGAAGAAAATTCTTCTGGTAGGAATCAGATAATTATAATTGATGATGGCTTATCTCCACAGCTAAGTGCTAGCACTACAAAAATGTTAGAAACAGTAAATCCTAAATGGCACGGCAGGCAGGCATTATGCCTCATTAGCCGTGCTCACCTTTTAATCATAGGCTGCCATTGCGAGATGCTGATCACCACTGCTAGAGTTGCAGAAAAACTGATGTATCGTGGCATATTTACCATTTGTTGGACAAACTAAACTCCCCTTACCAGGGAATAATTTTTTAAAATAGAAAATAGTTATAGACTAGAAAATACCAGAACACCTTCTCAACTGCTGATATGTTTTCGATAGCCTTTAAAAGCCAAAAGTAAAATTTTTAGTAGCAGGAAAAGCATCGGCTAAAAATTCAAATAACAAGAGAGAGAGATGCTAATACTCCCTATTTGTTTTACCCAGAGTAGGAAAAAGTACAGATGTCAGCCACCTTTTCTCGCTCGAAAATAAAGGCCAAAAGGCACAATGCACAACTTCTCTGCTCAACATAGTTTTTTCAGCTTTGCTGTGCAGGATGAAGGAACATCTTTGGAATTGGATTGTAAAAATATTGGGGATTAGAAAAAGAATAATCAGCCCCTTACCATGGATATCTTTATAGGATGATTCTTAATGGTAGAACAATACCTAAAGAGTGGAAGATCACCTATGTCTGGAGATGATTTCTACATCCTACCATATTAAAGCAACTTCTCAAGGGGTCAATTTAAACAAGCCCATTTACCCTTACCAAAAAATGGGCAGTGAAACCTGTTTAACTTTTTCCAACTTGAACAGATACTCAAATATGATATACTACAATACAGGCAGATGCTCAGCATACTCATAGATGACAAAGAGAAGTTAGACCATATATAGCTATTTAGAAATACCATCACAAGATAAATTTTTGCAACAATGATGCATTGCCGCATAACAAATCTAGAAGCATTTTAAGCATAGGTTCTTAGTAAGCTTAAGTAAATAAGTATATATATATATATATATATTAAAATTTTTACAAGAAAAAGTATAGTTTGTTTTGAAATACTGGAAATGAGAAAACTTCAAATTTTGAAATTTAGCTCGTGAAATTAAAATGTTTTATGAAGGAAACAGAGAGGATAAAGCAGCCACATAACCTCTTACCAAGCCCACATGAGGGTGCACAAAAATACCTACCCGCTTAATTGGTCCATAAGACTCAAACTCTCTTTTAATTCTACTCTCAGATGTCTCGTAATTCTGCAACAAACAAAACAAGCTAATAATTTATTCCAGCCGGGATAATCAGAAGATGAAGTTAGATATGAACTTGGGAAAATTCACTTACAAGTCTAGCAACAAATAGTGTCTTGTATGGATCACCTGAAATGTTTGGATCGTTATTTGGATCATCTGCATAAAAGACACAGACAAAACCAACAATTAAAAATTATAAAAAGTGCATTAAATAAATTCATCAGTCACTAATAAGCAAATGAGACTTCACAGTTTTTCAACTCCTCAGCAGCCTTCTCTGCACCCTTCTCTAGCCGTAACTTCTGAATTCTTGCTCTTCTTTGTGCCTAGATCCAAAAAATTTACAAACATGCGCATATATATTAAAACTTTTCCCTTCCATCAAAGTAAAATAGGTGGTCAAATCAACACCTTACACCAAAGCTGTTATTTAGGGTTACACCCAGTTTGGACCAGCTTATAGTACTAAAACCATTTTTAAAGAAAGCATGGTTCACATACAAACAAGAGAAAAATAACTGAATTGATCTCAGTATAAGAATCTATCCATTAAACATCTCATTGACATGTCATATTACTCAAATATAAGAACAAATTCAATCAAACAACAGAATAAAACATGAGAAACATAATCAAAAGCACCTAAGAAAAGCATTTCATAGAAACAATAACACGGTAACTTCTACTCGAGAACAAGTATCATACAGGTGTTTCAGCTTCCTGAACAGGCGGGGCATACTCAGCGTCTCCTGGCTCAGCAAAGTGAGTCACAAACTGTGCCATTCCTAACAAAGCCAAACAAAGCAAAACAAATCATTAAACGTCAAAATCTGGAAAGAAAATCCAAACCCTAATACACGACAAAGACCTGTATATGGAGGGCATTTTCTCTTCTCCGGAGGCGGTTTAAACTCCAACGGAGGTCGAGGTTCAAAGAGCTTCAAAAGATTGGTTGTTAAACCAGTAGGATGGCTTTGCCCAATCTGCAAAGTTAAACAAATTAGCATTTAATCATCTTTATCCTACAGCAAATTAAAATCACCACAAAAATTTTTAATTTTATCAAAATTTTCAAAAATCCCAGCAAATAGAATAAAACTAAATCGACAACAACCTTAATCTAACAAGTCGATATAAAAAATAATCGGATCGCAATATTAAAAAAACCCTAAAATAACGAACCAGCTTGAGCTGTTGAATATTGGCACGGTTCTGAGGAGGTTTAACGCGGGCCTGAACGGCGGCGGCGTTTTGGTTGCGCATGAAGGCATCGTTGTAATCTCCCATGTTGACGAGAGATCAAGGGGCTTAGCTTTGGATTCTTTTGAGAGAAAAGAAAAATCGAGTGATGTGGTAATTAGGTTAAGAAGATAAGAAGCATCGATTAGACAGTTGCTTTCCTCTAACCAGGTCGGGTCGAGTGGAAAACGTAGCCCTAAAGACCAGCAGGAGAAGAAGCTGGAAAAAGGGTTTCTAGGTGAGTATTTATAGTTAGAAAAGCAATTGTAGGAGCTGAGCGACAGTTAAACGTCGGCGTTTAGCTAAAAATAAAGCTATTCAAGGATCGGATCCTGACTGGCTGAGGCGTTTCTTTATTGGGCCCAAAGTTTAGAGAGCTAAGCCCATAACCGTCTAGTAATATAGCACATAGGACTATAGTATTTTTCATTCTTATTTTTGAATTTTTATATTATAATTATTTACATATTCATATTTAACAAATATTTTAAATTTATTATTATTTTTATCCCCAAGAATATTTAATAAGTATAAATAATTCTCGTACCCTTAGAATTTGTAATTAAAATTTCAATGCCTATTATTCCTTTTTTTATCCCAAAATTGTAAGTTCTTTTGTAAAAAACTTTTACTAGTTCTTTTTTTATTAGTTTAACCATTGCATATAATTATCAAATTAATGAAATTTGTGTTTTTTTTTTTTTTTTGTGCAAGATCAGTAAAAATAACCAATTTATTATTTGACCAGTGCAACTGAATTTGTTGAACCCAAATGACTTGTGTTAAAATGATGTCGTATTATAAGCATGATGCTCAATCTTTTTAAAATGAACACAAACAAAAACCTTACAAAAATACCAAACAATTTCCTTTTCTTTTTGAAGGTATGGAGTTTTACAAGGCAAAAAAAAAAAGGCAAATGTTTGACGTCGTTTAGCAAAAATAGCTTTTTGATGGAGAAGAATTACATGAATTCCCTTATCTTATAAAATGCAGTGGCAAAAACAGACAAGTCCAAAAAAGACCTTCACATTCAAATATACGTAGAATTCGATCATCTCACACAAAAAAACATAATCTACATCTGCCACCATACATGATCAAATCTATGCATAAATAATGCAAATCCTGATAATGAAGAGAAGACACTTGGATTAACAATGATCCCAAATTAATAGACTGAACTGAAGCTGAAAATGATATTGAACCAACCAATATTGTTATGTAAACAATCACTGTTTTGATTGTCAAGCTTTTGGTTTTGGTCGGCTTGTTAATTGTTGTGCTTTTGCATCCCTCCAGATGCCATCTCGCTAGAGTGATCGCTGCTGGAAATTCCGTATTCGCTGCTAGCCCCGAAATCCTGGCTCGATAGTGCTATTTGTCTGAACCTCTTCATGTCAGCTTGGTATGAACTATTGCTGTAGTCTGAACTTGTGCCAGAGGCATAGATTGTGCTTTGGCCTGGCTTGACGCCCTCATTCAGGTCATCCAGGGAAGAATCACCTTCCAGGGCACGTACTATCTGCTTTCAATGACGATTTTATATAAACCACTTTTAAAATATAACATTATAACAAGGCAAGTTAAGAAGTTTGGAGATCATAGCAAACCTGGCTCATTTTCGGGCGCTTTCTTGCTGAATGTCTGATGCTGGCAGCAGCACAGGCTACCATGCGTTGCATTTCGTTATGGTTGTAGTTAAGCTCCAAGCGTGGATCAACCAGCTGATCATGATTGCCATCCTCCAGTGCACGAGCCAAAAGTGGTCGAGCCTGTCATATGGTACATTAATTGGACAGAACAGAACAACAGAGGCAGCAAGCATTCACTATGTAATTTTCTTGTAATGAAGGAGTTTATATTTGATATATGTAATTTACCACTTCACTAAATCTGATATTTGGCAAATAGTGCATCAAATTTAAACTCTTATGCAATTACTAAGTTTGGAGAATATACCCAATCTACTAAGCTATCTTCCATTACATTAGTAAGATCAACAGGTTGCTTTCCAGTTATGAGTTCTAAGAGCATGACCCCAAATGAGAAAACATCAGATTTCTCGGTCAACTTGCCGCTTGAGGCATACTCTGGAGCCAAGTACCTACATTAGAGCAAAAAAAATCAAAATAATCAGCAAGGGGATTTTAATTTCCACTTCCCCTTATGAAATGATGTTTGAATCAACATATTTAAACAAACTATAGAGATCTCCCTGCCTCAATCTTTCTTTTTCCTCAAACACACTAATCAAAAAATAGCTCTTCACCGTTGTTTATAGATTCAGTTCCTTACCCAAAAGTTCCCATCACCCGAGTTGAGACATGAGTGTAGTTATCAGAAGACAGCTTGGCCAATCCAAAATCGGCCACCTATAAAAATAGGCTTGGTTAGTTTTGCTAACATAGATATCCTGAGCTGAGATAAATAATAACATAAACATGGTAATTTTTATATCATTGGTTAATTGAATTTCAATAGCATAGTAAAACACTGATTTAATTTTAAGAGAAATACCATGGCTTCAAAGTTATTGTCAAGGAGAATATTAGCTGCTTTGATATCACGATGAATAATGCGAGGATGGCCTGCACAAATAATTCAACAAAGAAATGAAAACCTTAGGGAGAAATGGAGTGGCAGAGAGGTAGAAAGAGAGGGAATTCCTTACAATCTTCATGAAGATAAGCAACCCCTTTAGCAGAACCTAATGCAATACGAAGTCTAGTGGAAAAATCCATGACTAGACAATCCTTTCCTGCAATGGAAAGTTATAATGATTTTAGGAGTGCAGAACTTCCGATCAATATCATTGCTATAAGTAATTTTGTTAGCACTATCCATCATAAGACACCAACATATTCTCCCCATTTTCGGAACTATTCCATTTGGAAAACTTGGATCATTTTTTGCTTAAATCTTTTCTGAACAAATATTCATCCTTTGTGGTCTGGTCATGCTAATTTATTAACAGTGAAAGTACCATATGGACCAGGGTGCAAGACAGCAGGCTTCAAATTTCTTTATGCAAATACCAAAAGAAAAAGGATGATGAATGAAGCATGAAATTGATTACCATGGAGATGATATTCCAAGGTTTTATTTGGAACAAATTCATACACCAACATCCGCTGCCCGCCAGCAATGGAATATCCAACAAGTGACACAAGATGGCGATGGTGGACACGGCTAATTATTTCAACTTCAGCCTGGAATTCCCTTTCTCCTTGTCCACTACCCATTTTTAAACTCTTAACTGCAACCTCCTTACCATTTGGGAATACACCCTTGTGCACATATCCGAACCCACCTTGACCAAGCAGATTGGCCTGAGAAAATCCACCTGTAGCAGCTGTCAGCTCCTCATAAGTGAAAGTACTCTTATTGAATCCCAGAGCAATATTTGGTGGTGGAGGTGGCAAAGGAGGATGATGTGGGCCTGAAAAGTTGGAGCTTGCTTCACCGCTGTAAAACGGTGGTTGCATAGGAGATGTTGAACCCCAGCCACCACCTCCTGTTGGTGGTGGGAGTACTTTGACAGCATGCTCTGCCCCTTGAAAACCATTGCCCCACTGAGGATTTTGTGAGCTGTTATAATATTGATCACTAACACCTGTGCAAAATTTATAAGCCAACTAAACATTTATCAGTCCTCAAATCATCTAGGTACAAGATTCAACAGAAGATAAATAATAGATTATGCATACTGATTTTATACTCTTCATTGGATTTATAAGGGAAATTTATATGGGAATTAGCTCTTCTTCATTAAATAAAAACACAGGCCTTAATTTTGGTTTAATTGACAAAGAGAATTTTATGGCAAGTATTTGCAAAATTCCAAGCTTTCTTTTCCAAGTTTCATCAATGAAGAAAGACAGCATTCCAGGAAAAAAAACAAAGGCTTTTGCCTTGATTGCAGGAAAAAGGGGTATTTTTTTATTACCTTTAGCTTCATGAGGTGGATAGTACTGCATTTGCTGATGGCTTTTCTTCTTCCTCTTCTTTTGCTGAACGCATCTTGCTAAAAAGATGACAACAACAAGGAGCAATAATCCTGCCCCCACAGCAACTCCTATAATGATTTGTACATCCATGTCGTCATCAGTTGAATTTGAGGATGGTGAAGAAGAAGAAGAAGAAGAAGAAGACGAAGAAGTGTTTGAATTGGTACCACTGCTTTTGGATGGAGGTGGGGGAGAAGGGTTGCTGCTACTTTTAGGAGGCGGAGGAGGAGGAGGAGGAGAAGAAGAAGAAGACGAAGAATTATTTTTATTAGGTGGTGGTGAAGATGATGATGATGATTGTGGTGGAGGAGGAGGTGGTGGGGATGGTGATGGTGGCGGTGGCAATGGTGAGCTTTTGGGTGCTGATGATGGTGTTGGTGAGTTATCTTGTGTTGAATTTGATGGTGATGGAGCAGGTGGGGAATCTTGTGATGGAGAATTCTCAGGGGATGATGCCATTTTGCATTAGCTTGCCAACTTCCGGCCAAGAAACTCCACCCCTCCCCTATATGCTTGTCTCAAACAACTGAAGAACCCTGAAGAAAATTGCCAGGTTAAAAACCAATGAAAGTTTGATAGATACAGCTACAGGCCATTTAAGATCAGACACGGTGGCCATGCAAATGCTATAAATCTAGATAAAAACAAACTTCTCATGAAGAACCTTCAACAAATGTGTAACATAAATGACATGTCATATATTGACTTTGCATACAGAAATTCATGAACTGATCTATGTTATACTACAGTTAATGATTGGAAAAAAGATTTTGGTGAATGAGACAATAGAACAAATGAAAATTTGCAAGAGAAAAGAGGTACCCGAATGAAGAAGATAGAAGGGTTCTCAAGGGAAAGAGAGAGAAAAGGTCTTGCATGGTAAAATTGCCATTCTAGAATGGGGACTATGTTCCCCGGTGGCTTCCTACAAAGCAGGACTTCTGGCTCTTTTTCTCTCAACCTCTAGTTGTCTCTGCCACCCTTGATTCGTTTGAGTTGGTTTTTTTTTTTTTTTTTTTTTTAGCTTTTCCTATTTCCTGCTTTGCCTAGGCTTTAGTAAACCTGTGACAACCTATGATTTTGCTCACAAAAGGCCTAAACATTATGAGCGCTGATTTTTGTAACAAAGAAAGCCTCCCACACTATCAGAATCAATGTCCAAATATTACCACCCAAAGGAAAAGGTAATACAGAAACAAAAATATTAATATTGAATGACAAAAAACATTTATCTATACCATATAAACAGAATTATTTGCTATTTCTCACAATGTAATCTCATCAGTAGGCATTTGCCCGAGTGAATTGTTTTTCCAGAAGCATCAGAAATTTTAATCCACTTGACAAAATGTTAATAAAAAGAATACCACTTTGAATGGTAATGTTGAGTCGGACCAACTTGGAAGATGAAATATCAGAACTTGGAACAACTTGCTTATTATAACACTTGTAGTCTTGTATGAAAATTTTTCACATTTTCACACCATCATGGAACAAACGACACATGCAAGAAGAAACACTTTGTATTGCAGTCCATATCACTAGCTTCAAAAGGCGAAGTTCCTTACAAAACTTACGAGCTAGAACTTCAGAAGTTTTCAGTTTCAAGACCAAAGAAAGAAGAAAATTATCCTAAAAGCAAACAGGTAGTTTAAGAGAAAGCAAAGGTGAGGCTTGGTTAAGCATATACCTCAGTAACCTCACCTTTTAACCGACAGATGACACATTTACAAGACACAATGAGAGAGTCTGTCCGGACAATTAAACCCTGTCTCCTACCAACGGATGGCTCACTGATACGAGCTAGGCTGTTCATGTACGGAAGAGACCTAGGTAGTTCATGCACAACCTGCCGATGTGCATATCATTCCACCTTCTGTTCTCTCACATGATAAGCAATCACCTTCCTCCCGAGTGCATGTATCAGAATATCGTCATTAATGCTGGGCAAGGCCCTGCACACACCGAATACGCTCCTCACTGAAAAGAAAGAAGGATAAGGGAGAATGAATAATGTTAATTATATCCCATTGCAGATATCATAAGCAACAATTCATGCAAAATTTATAGTAATCACAATGAGAAAGGGAAACAGAAAAGAGAGAGAGAGAGAGAACTCCATTATTTAAATTAAATTCTTTACAATCCTTAGGCAGCACAGTCTAATCAACTACGTTAAAACAAAGGAAAAGGAAGTAGAATGGTTGCAGGTTGGAGCAAACCATGGCCACAGCCCATAAGTACAAGATAAAGCGACATGCAGTGGCCCATACCACATCATCTCCTTAGCCGAAACACTGGTTGCTTGGAAGGGATCCTGGAATGGAACCGTTCTGAAGCAGTCATAACTAAAATGGCAAGAAAAGACAGGAATGAGAAACCTTCAAAGGCTCTCAACAACCCAAAAGGCCCATTAGGCAGACCAGAACTAGTTTCGGCTTTTGTGAATCAAGACCAACCAAAATCCCAACAACAATTAGGTATGTCACACCTTCCAGTGGACCTATGACCTATCGAGCTATCTGGCCCAGGGGGCATGCCACACCCGGTTGTCTTAAGCGTGTACATGGACCAAGCAATTAGTCGGTTGGCAACAGTCCACCCGCTAATGCTGCTTTCTCTGTAACTGCATTGCCGCTTTCACTAGTCTCCTTTGCGATGGTTAGCACTTTCAGCCGAATCTGCAATCTTTGTCTTTTATATGCGACAACGAGACTATAGCGTTTCAGTGAAAGAAGGGAGGTTGATGGTGGTGATAGTAGCAGCAACTTTGAGGCATCCATGGTCAGAGCTGAGAGAGGCAATTCCTTAGCTGTCTGCCTATTTCTAGGGCGGTGCAGCCAACTTTTCTATTTTAGTACCCTATCCGGTGTTCACCCTTGTGAAATAGACCACGTGGCGGGTGGAGAGGGTCCTATACCCTTCATGACGAAAGAACTTGGCCATTCACGATTTAATGTTTAAATTGCACCTCAAAAAAAAAAAAAAGGTTTACTGGAGGAGCCAGAGAGCCCTGAAAGTATTGGGCTCTTCTGAGTAAAGAGCTCAGAGAGGCCCAAACAATAGTTCAATTTCACAATTACTATTTCCACAGATTACGTTATAATTATCTAAATTACAAGTATACCATCCATCGCAACATGAATTTTATCACCCACTTTTTGAATCAGGAGAATTTTTTATTTAAAAGTAAAACTTATACTAGCAACAACAACAAAGATGCGAAACTTTACAGTGACAAAAAACAAAGAGATCAACGGTAATCAGACCGCTCGATCATATTCACAGAAAAGAATCCGTAGAACATCATGCAAAGGTGCCATGTCACATGTGACAGTGAGACGTAAAGGTTAATTGCACCTTGACCGTTCTGCTATCAACCCCTAGCATGATTGCCACATGGCCTACTGCTGCAGCTCATAAATTAAAACCATTCAACCATTCAACCATTCAACCAATCACAGGATGACATGCGTGATGAAAAAGTATTAAGCTGGTCAATTGCCTGAAGCCCACTTGTGATTCGATATGATGCTACTATCTACAATCGTTTTATAACTTACAATCCCCCACCCTTCCTTCTTTAAAAAACCCGCTCGACCAAACACCAAAAAACAAAGGTTTATCAAGTTCTATTTTTCCCTCCATTCCCCTTTATAAATAGACTTCCTACTCCTGAGAGCTGAACATGGGCGGTAAACCCTTCATAACTGCCATTTGAATTAACAAATAGTAACGGCTATATAAGAGAGGAAAAAAGCTAACGACTTTTTGAACTAAGCATGTACCACCCATGATACACAATTCCTTCACCTAAACATTTGTCCATGAACACGGCCAAACATCACTACCAGACTATCAACCATTCTATCTAACATCAAGTTCCCCTGCTTCAAAGCATTAACAAAAGATCTAACTCGGGAAATCGAAAAGAGCTAACGATGCTTCTTTGATGCCTTTGCAAACTCAACATCATCTTCCTCCTCATCATCCTCACCATCCTCGTCCTCCTCTGCATCATCACTTCTCTTTCTCTTGGGCTGTGAAGAGGATGGCAGCACTTGCACTTCCTCATCATCTTCGACTTCTTCTTCCTCTTCCGCATCATCTTCTTCATTCCCAGGATCCATATCACTACCTCCAGCATCATGTTCTTCAGACTGGCCCACTGGCTGAACCAGATAACCTTCACCATAGTCTTCATCCTGCCATTCCAGTCAGCAAAAATGAGTTTAAAGCCATCTCATCATAAATAATGAGCTAAATGAAAAGAATCACAAATTAACAAATAAAATGAAATAGAAAAAGACAAAACCAAAGTATATTCAAAACAAAGATAATACTAGATACCTAAGACAGGACGGCAATCAGGCAAAAAATCCAAACAGATCCCCAAGCTTTCCTCCTCAACAGCCACCCCTTTTCTTTTTCTCTCAATCCCCCAAACAACCCAAAAGTAAACAAAAAGTAGGATGACTTTAAACCTATAAAAGTAGCACAATTCTTCTGGACAGGCAACATTTTAGCTACAATAACTTATAACTCAGATAATAATAATTACAGTAATACCAAATAATTGAAGAACTAAACTACTAGAACAACACAACCGGAATACTTGCATGCCAATAATTTTTTCAAAAGAGAAATAATAAGTTTCTATAAATAATCCACAAGCAAAGACTACTCCAACAAAAAGTAATATGCAGGCAGAAAAGTTAAGAGAAACAGATAAGATTATCAACTAAAAATTTCCAAAATAACCCATAATCCCTTCAGGACACCATAAATATCAAGATAACACAGAACCTTAATAAAAAAGTCAGCCATGGCATTAAGAAGTGGCTTATCAGCTTTATCACTGCACTTTAACTGCAATCAATAGAACATGAAGTTTGCCAACCAAGTTGGAGTTTGTAAATAAACTGCTCAGTGAACTAAAAATACGATTCTCAGAGAACCAGAAGATAAATAACACAAAAGAAAACAGTGAATCTTCCTCAAAAAATAGTTTAGATAAGAAAGCTTAAAATTTCCTAATGATAGGGTCATAGCAAGGACAGGCATACAGCAGTGACACAGAACAAGTTAACAAGTATATTCTCAAGACGAAGAGCTTCTCAACAAGGGATTAAAACACACTTCAAAGACAAAACCAAATTCACCTTCTCTGGTAATGAGCACATACAGAAACAAATATCAATAGTTTTGAGGACGAGCTGATAAGCTACAGCTTTCAAAGATTTCAAGAAAAACAATTCACAAGGCTTGCTCTAAATTAAAAATCCAAAACCAGTATTCTTCGAAGTAATTTATGTACTATCCTCACCAGGAAAAGACTACAAGATTGACTAATAACAAAAGTTGAAAAACAACCATATATTAACAAAAAGTGAAATACTAAAATCACTAAGGAAGCATGTAGAAAAACTCTAAAGGCTGTGTGTATCTAGATGTTTCATGGGGAAAAAATAATCCACGTATATGATTTCTAACAACAAATTAGTCAGATTTATAACATGCTTGACTGTGAGTAAAGGCCTATAACCTATAGTGCGAGATTCTTGGCTAGCAGCACGACAGAAGCACAGCACTTGTTCTCCTTTTGATGTTTAAAAGCAACATAAGCACACAACAACAAGTGTATATGAAAAAATTAAATTCTGTACACATCTAGAAGACCAAAAAAACCTTTGTAACAACTTTGCAGAGATTCCACAAGTAACAACAAAGAAACAGCATTCAAACCATAGCAGCATAGCCATGTCACCTGCTTTTCCTGGCAAATCTAAAAAGGCCATTTCAATTTAACAATTCACTCAAGTTAAGACACAAACACACAATGGTAAGTAGAAAGTAGAAAGTAAAACACATCAATTAGATTAAACGATAGAAGCATGAGGTAGTATTATTGCAAGAAATAAGGAATCTTAAACCATAGAAGCATGAGGTAGTATTTTTGCAAGAAACAAGGAATCTCACCTCCTCTTCAGCCTCTTCTTCATCTTCAAATTCCCCATCATCTTCAACACCTTGCTCTTCCTCACCAGTCTCACCATTATCGTCATCATCTCCGTCATCTTCTCCATGTTCATGCCCATCAATCTCCCCTTCTGTGCTCGTCAAACGCCCAGTACTCTCCGGCTCAGCAAAATCCCCTTCATCATTATCGACCTCTTCCGCCTCATCATCCTCGCCATCATCATCATCATCCTCTATCCCATCTTCATCATCATCACTATCCCCAATCTCATGAACTTCCACAACATCATCTTCTTCCTCATCATCATCGTCAACTTCCTCACCTGAATCATTCTCCTCTTCATCATCCTCATCCTCATCTTCTTCATTTTCATCTCTCGCCACTTCCTCAATACGAAAACCATTCGCCTCATGACTTTGCCCATTTACTCTTCTACCTGTCTCTGTCTCCTCTTCATCGGCATCACTCTCTTCATCCTCATCAACATCAACAATCCCTTCGCCTCCATAGCTATGCCCATTATTCATTCTGTACGGCCGATCCTCACCATCAATTTCCCCACTCCCTGGATCATCTTCATCATCATCCTCTTCATCTTCATCCGACTCCGGCCTTTCATTCTCCTCAGCATCCATTTTATCCAAGTATTTCAACGATTTAATCAACCCGAAAACCCTAGATCGATAATCCTTAACTCTGGTAACCGGACACTCGTAAAGATCGAGCGAAACAAGCTTGAGCTGGGCAAGCGGAGCAAGATCCTCGATATATTGAATACGGTTGTTGGACAAGTCGAGGTCTCGGAGCGAGTCAAGGCCGGCTTCGACGAGGAACTCGAGGCCACCGGCGATTCTGTTGTCTGAAAGGATGAGTTTCTGGAGATTTCGGAGACGAGGAAACTGTTCTAGACATGAAACACCGATGTTGGCGATGGAAAGGTGTTGAAGACTCTCAAATCTTTCCAAGAGACTAGGCGGCGGGAGGCGACCTTGGACACACTTCACCGCACCGTCAAGTGTCAATGTTCTAGCCGCCGCGTGGTCCGCTTGCCCGTCTAACGCTGTCTCCACCGCTCTCTCCCAGATCTCGTCCATCAAATACGGCCACTATTTTTATCTCATATACCCCTATTTATATAAATAAATATCAAATTAAAGCTTCTTTACCTATATCTCTACAGAAATGAATAGATTCAAAGGGATTGTTCGAAAAGAATTTCAAAGAAGGAAGCTAAAAAAATTTAAGAAAAAAAATAAAGGAAACCCTAAATCTAGATTTTAGAAGATCGAGAGTAATTTTGGTTTGCAATATGAATCAGCGGCTTAAAACCCTAAAGATTTTTTTTCCAGATGTACGGAATCTCTTCTTTCAAGTTCCCAGCGCTTGAGAACGAAAAACACAGATATAAATAAAATAAAAGAAAATAAACCCAATTTCAATTTCCGTTGTTCCTCTCTCTCTCTTTCACTTTCTTTTTTTTTTTTTTTATTTTCTTTGTTTCTTATTGGTTGGCGAGTCGAGATAAACCTCCCAGAGAAAACGTTGGGCTCGTTGTTCGTGGCTAGGGTAAAGGGTGCGGTTTTTTTTTAGGCCGTGGAGAGGTGGTTTTGTAAATTATTGGAGGAAAGGGATCCGTTGGATCGAGTACACGGATCACTGACGTGGATGAGTTGAACGGTGGAAATTCGAGGTGGGTGTGTTTGTTTTCGAGAAGGAATATGTTGGTTGATGAGAGAGAATGATCTGGGGTCCAGTGCAAGGCCTCGCCATGTTTGACACGTCACTTTGCGCATAAATATCAGGAAAACTAGAAGAATGCCTATCAAGTTATAAGAAATTACGGAACTGCCACAAGGACTATGGACAGCTGGCTTAGCTAAGCATTACGAGCGATTAATGGTTCCAACAAATATCTCGACTCACGTCCGACGAGTCACCGCCCAGCCAGCTATGTTCAAACTCCAAAAAAAAAAAGATTTCTTTTGGGCCAAAGCCCAAAAAGACAAAAATTCCCAATCCACTCTTTGCTTTGCCACCCAAACAATTTATGACACAGAGTAGGACCAGCTGTATTTTCACTAGGAGTCTCCATCTAATTGGTGTTTTTGCTTCCGTTTTGAGTCCCGGTTCCTTTGAGTTCTGCATAACCTGGTGGCAACTTTGGTGGATGCACAAATGGCATGTTTGGAGAAGGTCCTGATGAGGGTGGTGAGCGAAATGGCCAAGTGATTGTGCTCAAATTTGAAGCTGGACTGCTTGAGAACTGGCTTGGCCTTAGTGAACTACTAGCACCCCTTGAATCGATCTTCCACATAACTCCTTTCTACTCTTAACTCTGGAAAGCTTGGTTGTGCCTCGTTAATGTCTCCTAGAATGATGGTCTGGTTTTTATCTCCCGCTGCCCTAACACTGGGTGCCCCAAACTGAAGCCAGGGCTGCCTGAAATGTGGTGGCCGGTTCAACATGGCAGCATTGGTTCCAGAATAATTGCTGTTGCTTTCTGCATCATCTTTGCCTCTAGCTTGAAAGCCTGGTTCTGATATTTCATTAGGCTTATTTGGCTTGAAGTCTTGCTGCTTATCTCTGTCCAATGGAGAAGTCATGTCAATGGGACCAACTCTAGGCACAGAAGATCTGCCTGTGGCGATTGTAGTTGTGGGAAATGCTTTCTCTGGAGGAACAGCCGGAGTATAATTAGATGGAAGTAGATCATCCCAATTCTCTAAGAACTCCTTGTAGCTTTTCGGAGGTTCACCTCTGTGAGACCTGTAACCTTACATATCTCAGCCTGCGTGTTGCGTTTGTCTTCTAATTGGCATGCCAGACATATAGCAGCAGCAGAGATGCTGATTGGATTCCTGCAAGTGCAGAAGCATTTGTTGATCACAACTTCTCCAATATGAGTAGCCAGCTCCTGAACGCATTAAGATGACTCTATTACAGCCACCTTCAATGAAAATCAGAACCTAAAAGCGGGAGCTATCATTTCTAAAATAATTGCGTGGCACCAGAAATTGATTTACTCATCCATATTATTAAGCCACACCAAACAGATACCAACAAATTATACAGTGTAAATTCCATTTATAATCTTATTATACACTTTCCTGACAACTTGCATCTATTGCAAGATGATTTCTAACAAGTCCTATCTAATTTTAAGCAATTTTTACATTCTTCTAACATTTATCTGCAACACCTTCCATCTTAATTATCAAAACATAAGCATATAGAAAGGGTTACAACTTCTAATAGATAAAATTCAACTTCATCAACTAGGATAACTAGGTCCAAGCAGTGACTCTTAAACAGAAAGGTACCTTTGCAGATTTGTTGAGTTGGAGGAGAGTGCAAAATCTCGGCATATGGACTGATATAGAATTACTATTGAAAGGCTGACTTAATTGCAGAGCTTCTCCCAGTATCTCGATGTACTTGCCAATCTCTTTCTATCGTACATTGACAGCAATAGAGATTTCCTGTCATTTGAGAACAGCCCCTAGAGATGTATTAGAATAAAGAAGGGGAAAATAACATACCATAGAGATTTCCTGTCATTGATTTATTGTCTACCCTAGCAAGAGCAACCTCTTTGTTAATAATCAAGCATCCACTCTTAACTTTTCCCTTTCAAGTGCTCAAAGTACTAAAACAACACAAAAAAAGAAGCATTTAGTTCCAAGATTTTAAGACTCACAATCTCGAGAATTCTGTAGCATTTTAGGTTTTCATATATTCTCCTCCACCACCTCAATTCCTCATAAATATTTACCCATACACAGTAATCATTCCCTTGATTTATCTTAAGGGTGCCCACAGTCATCATTCCTTTGATTTACCTTAAGGGTTGCCCGGTACACCTCTCAAGCCCACCTGCCTACTTACTCTCTTCATTTTTATACCAGTTCAATTCTCCATTTTATTATTCCGAAACCAACCATGCCACCAACTCTCAGCCACTGAAATCTCACATTACACTGAAGAACAGTACCTAAGGAACCTTAGCAGTGTCATAACACAAGGTCACAAGAGATACGGATGCAATTCTTTATAAGAAAGACATCTATGGACTACCGATAACACATAGGTCCTGCATATACTAAGGGCAAAGACTACAAGATGCTTATCTCAAACTCCAGCAGTAGTAGTAGTTGAGAACTTTCCGTATACCAGCAATTAGCTTCTGGTCAATCATTTTCTTTCTCAATTCTCACGCCACAATAATTGATTGTAATAAAATATACATATATATGTATACATGGAAAACTTGGAACATAGAGTTTGCATTACCACATAATTTACAGGAGAAAAGAACCACTATTTTCCAAAATTTCGTGTATAGCCTATACATACAGACATACACACAACAGATTCTTTCTAAAAACAATCTGCTTCAAAAACTGGCACAAACGGTCAAACATCTCAACCATGTGAGGCAAATGCAGGCCAATTTAGGGCATCAAATATCCAATTTACCAAAGGGTCTTGAAATTGCAAAGAGGCACAACTCCCAGCTGTGATAACGAACCAACTTGATTCAGCAATATAATTCCAACTAAATCTACCTCACCACTAAACTATTTTAACATAAACAATTCAAATGTAAAATCAGTTCGGGTGTCTTGAGCTTCCCTAATGGCCTGAACAAAAGCGGCAGTAGCAAGGGCCTCAACATTCCGGTTCCTCAAGCAGGTAGCCGAACAACAATCCCTAAACAATTGAAACGTGTGATCCGATATATCGCAATCCAACCCCAAAATCGACGCCAAGTCTATAATCTGCATATACGCCCTCAAGTTATCCACCACAACCGTCGACGATGACGTTGACGATTGCGTTGAGCACGAAGAAAGTTCTAGAGTCCGCTCGAGCTCAGCTGTTGGCCGGGAAGGAGAGAGTTGAGAGAAAGAGTATAAATGATATATTAATATTAATAAATTATTCGAATTAAATTCATTATAGAGTAAACTCAAATTTTATTATATTAATTTATTAATTAAATTGAATTTAAATATTTTTATATTTTATTTAAGTAATTTATGAATTTAATTTAATTTTTATATTTTAATTAATAAAATATTTTAAATTTAAATATAAATAATTAAATTTTTATCAAATATAAAAATTATTGTTTTTATATATTAATTAAATTTAATTAAATAAATTTAAATAATTTAATTTTTATTTCAAATTAAATTTGAATTAAAAAAATTTAATTGAGCTCGAAGTAATTTTGAGTCTTAATTTTTTAATCAAATTTGAATTTAAATTTAATATTATATGAATTCAATTGAAATCCTTAAATGAGCAGAGGAAGAGTGAGCTGGGCTCGAGTGATCGTGTGGAAAAGGCCGTGATAAAACCCGTGGGCTCAAACGGCTCGTCTTCGTGGACTTGGTTGGCGAACGCAGGAGCGGGGACGTCGGAGTGACGAGGCAGAGAGGGGTGTCTTGAGCAGGCAGGTGGAAGAGGTGGTGGTTTTGGAATTCGCGCTCTTCGACTACCCGACCGCACGAAATGCACTCTGTTATGGACCGGCCTGTGGTCGTGCTGGCGCACAGACCTTGCGCCACCGAGCATATGGACACTTCATCGTTAGTTATTTAGTAATTGCTGTGTATATCAAATTTAGGGCACTAAATTGCACAAAATGAAAACACAATTCGAATTCCTCTCCCAAATAACAAAAGGAATGGGTTTCAAACATTTTCTTCACTTTAATATTTATGTAATTGAAATCTCTTCAAAATTTTCTCGCTTGAATTTATATGGCTTAAGGTAGGTGGTTGTTTCAGTTAACCACCCTTTAGGACAATATCGTGACAGCAAAATTTCGAAAGAATTGAGAACCTAACTAAATAAATACATAGTTTCTCCCTGTGAGAAAAATGGAATGAACTATATGGTTTTGCCGACCACTATCTGTGAAAAACTTGGGCAGCATATGAGCAAAATGAGAGTACAAAAGTAGTAAATTTGAAACCCTAGATCCAGCATTCTTCACATCATTGATCAGTTCCACTTGAGGTTACCTTGGATCTACCTTTCTCTGCTCGTTTCAGACCCTTGCTCAGCTCTCTTACACTCTGCCAACATAAATGGTAAAAACGCAGGGGAATACAAATTAAATTCCATTTACGTCTCACTCTACTAAGCTAACAAAACAAAAGCAGTCAACAGCATAAAATAAAGACATTGAATGCCATAGAGTTTAACCATGAATAAGAGTTTACTTGGGAAAGAAGGAAAACTTGGGGGGCAGGATCTTGGAGATGAATCAGAATTATCAATTGAAGAATACAATTCTAGGAATTCAATCATGAGAAGTTAATACCAATCAACCTATTATCATGCTGCGCTTGTAATAATCCTTTAGATAAACAGGTTCTCAGATCTAGGACACCCCTATGGTTCATCAAATTAAAGTGAAACAGGATGGAAGAATGACGAAAAGAATTAATTTGACTTGATGTAACTTGATTGGTCACACAGACATTAAGTAATTGAAAGATCCCAAACAGATAAATAGAATAAATGGCACTCCAACTAACTCTAGAAAACGATATCTCAGAGTAAAAGTAACAACATTATCACAGGGTTCCATTCGGGACAGTCATTCAAAGGACAGTAAAATGCAAATTACCCTAAGACTAAACATGCTGAAAGCCATGCTCATAATACGAGAGCATATAACATGCTTAAGTTATTCGGTTTCTATAACCCTAGCAGACAGAGAAAGTCTACAACCCCAAATTATTAGAATTCAGAAAACTAGAATACTAAAGGGGGGTAGCATGTGTAGTAAGAAAGGGAAATATGCTCCAGCTCATTGTTTCTCTCCTTACAAACATGGTAAGATGTAGGAAACCGAGAATATCCACAGCTGCAAAATCATGTTTAATTCAGATATGCTCCATTTGCCATATAGGTTGAGTGGCATAAACCTACATACTAGTTAATTGAATTAACCAGATCTATTTGCCTTTCAGGGTGAAACTTTACCAACAACTGGTGTAATTCAATTGACGTAATCTTATTCTTTTAGGCCTTCTGCACCAAAGAATTGAATAACAGAGAAACTTGAACCACCAGAGATTACATCTCCATGCCATCAAGTTTCAGAATAACTACAGCTTTGTGTGAACTGATATCTCCCACCTATAGAAGGCAAGAAGTAATTTGCATTCATCAATTGAAGTTGCTAATAATTACAGCAACTTAACTAGAAATGGCAAAGCAGGAAACCAAATGAAGATAAACACAACTAAGTAGTCCCAAAGTAATTGGTGTATGCTAGACTGCTAAAAATATACAAATTCTGGATCCCACTCACTTAATGCGAAGTCCCCAAAAGGAAGATGGCACTATTTAAAAACTAAAAAAAAATATCATACAATTGGGACGATCAAAGGGCAGAAATTATACTTGAATGAAATGGAAACGTTGCTTTAAGTAGCAAACTGATAGCAGGCAGGTAAATCAATTCTAATGAAGGGAAAATCCATTAAGCTACTAACCAAATGTAATTGCCAGGGCAATCTAGTTGCTTCTCTGGTCATATACAATAGAAATCAAATTTCATGCAAAACCAAACCTTACAGAAATCGCAAACAATAATAGGTTTAAAAAGAATTCTAGTGAAAGGAAAATCTGTTAAAGCTAAGGGCCAAAAGCAATTAGCGGAAAACCTAGTTGCTTAAGCAAAGGATGTGTTTAATCAAATGGTTAAGCACTTGAATCGAGACAAGCATTCTAGATCACCAAAAACAAAGCTAAGAAAGAGAAAGAAAATGATAACATGCAGCAAATCAGCATAATTCACAAAGAAAAGAAACCCTAATCCTTACCGTTGATTGGATAGGAGGAGGATCAAGATCCACGAAGCGTACGGACATCTTAACGATCTCAGTGATTGCAGCCTCTCTAACCCAAGGAGCATCACTAGTCAACTCCTCGTAGGCAGCCTCAAACGCCTCTTGCCAAAACCTCGGTAATCTGATCCGAAGGCTGTTCGTATACACATCCCACATGTGCTTCACCACCTTCTCTCTCTCCTCCATTTCCTAACAAAAAAGCAATTGAGATAAAAACTATATTTTTTAGACCAATGCAAAATTATAATGGAGAAAAAAAATGAGGGGAAACGTACGAGGACATCTAGATCGTCGTGAATGGGGTTACCGAGATCATCGGAAAGACGGTTGAGATTACCGGCGGACCACCGGAGAGTGACGGTGCCGGTGAACATCGACCAGAATGCCAGTAACAAAATCGCCGCTAATGCCCAGAACTTAAACCGGCCTTTACCAAACAAACTCGAATCTGCGCTTTCCTTTTTCACATTTGTTGTCGTCGTCGTTGCCGTTGTCGTGGGCAGAGTATCATCATCCTTCATTTCGAATCAAAGAAACGAAACGATTTTTTTAATTTTCCGAATTTATTTATTTTATTTTTCTTTATTTGTTTAGTAAGAAATGGACTTGGATTTGGATTTGGTAAGGAAACAACAGGGTATTGATTTCGATTTAGTTGACCATTATCTGATTTGGAGTGGATATTGACCGTTGACGTGAATGTATGAGAGATTTAACGGTTTTGCGAGGTTACTTGTCGGTTTCTCATAGAGTATGGACAGGGCTACCGACTTTCAACGGTGTCGTTTTCCCTCCATGATTTATTGTAGGGCTGGGCTGGGCTGGGCTCATTCCTTAATATCTTTCCTTTTAAATTTTTTTTCTTTTACTAATTTTTTTAATATACCTAATTTATTTTCATTTTCATAACTTCTTAATACTTTAATTTTACATGCATAAAAAATGAGCATATCACCTATATTAATTGTAATATAATTAATTAATTATAAATTAAAATTATATAAAATTTATCAAAATTTTATATAAAACTTACATTTATAAATAATAGATATTTACATAATTCTTAGCTATAATTAAATAATTATAAATTTGCAGTAAAAAAATAACTTTAAATCTATTCATTTTTTTCCCAACAATCTCTTGATCAAATGGTTAAAGGAGACGATGTGGCATTATATAACTTTAAAGTTAGAGTTCAAGCAACCTCAACCCCACCTCCCGAATAAAAAACAAAATGTAACCTTTTATTTTTGAAAACTTTGATCTGTTATAAATTTTTAATTTTTATTTATTTAATTAGTCCGAAGATAATAATATGCGTATAATTTTTTAAATTCATAATTAATTAAAAATCATACATGTTGTCCAAATTAATACTCATTTGATGATAAGATAATAAATGTCAAATGTAAAGATAGAGGTGTTTTTTTTTTTTTTTTGCTTAAAGGTATAGCTACAAAAATCCAATTATTAATTATTAGAATTTGTTCTGTTGTTGTACAAACCTAATCTCTCTTATATTTATGAATTTAATCAATTAAGTTTTGAGTTTTACAATTTGCCCCTTCTTTCTCTCTTATATTTCAAACCTTACCTCTCTTATTTTGATAGTTTAAATCTTGAAAAATTTTAAATCATATTAATGTAATGTTATATTTATTTATATCTACAATTACATTGTGATTTAATTTAAAGTATCAGAATAAGTATTTGAGCACGTGACTTATAAGCTCAGACATTACTATTTATAAAGTTGAAATCGTATTTTCTTATTCTCAATCTAAAAATACAAAGTAAATCATGGATTTTGAAATATGAATCAAGTTTGAGTTAATTTCTCATGTTTGATGATGATGGAATTGCATCATATATAAATCACATCTAGAATATTATACAATTATACAAATATAAATCATGTGTAAAAGACAATGATAATTTAAAATTTTAAATCATATGAAACTCAAATATTATTATTTAGTAGTAATATCTTATATAATCTAAAATCTTTATAAATAAATCTCAAAGCTTTTTTTTTATTATTTCTTTTCAAAATTGGGTTGTGTTTGATGTGAAATAATTTTTCAAAGAGGAAGATGGCCTAAAAGAGACCGGGAAAGAAGCACTTCTCTTGAGCAATTTTCTATCAAAGGATGAGATTTCATGACCATAAAACCGTTTTGATATTGCCACGTGTCCATCACGCTTTGATAATACTGCACCAGCCGATGTACCAACACCATAGGTACATGATCTAATCTCCTTCTCATGGAGGGATTTCCCATGTGTTTCCGATAGTAGCTTATAGAAAAACAACCACGCCACTGATGCCATTCCAGCGAACAACAGAAACGTACCTCCAACCGTGATGAAACCGTACAACTCTAAGAAAGCCAACGACGTTAAGCCACGTGTAACCAGATTAACCGCCGCTCCCATACTTGCGCCTTGGGCTCTTAATCTCAAAGGGAAAGCCTCCGAGCTGTACACCCACGTGACGGGGCCCAGTCCAGTAGAAAAAAACGCTATGCAAAGGAACGCCATGGCCACACTCAAATCAACGGCCCATATTCTCTTATGCGATTGGTAAGCGATCGTCAATCCCAAACCTAAACCAGCGAGGAATAAGATCATGCCAGCGACGCTGGCCAGAAGTAATGGTCGTCGTCCGATTTTGTCCATCAGAAAACCAGCGGTCAAGATGATGCAAATCTGGATTAATCTGACGGCTGATGTAACGCCTAAAATATCTTCCCCATTTTTAACCCCAGCCATTGCTAAAAGTCTGGAACAGTATTCATTCACAGCATCAATTCCTGTTGAATTTCGAAAGAAATTTAATCCAACGACTGCGATTAAAGCTCTTCGAATGGACGGTGACGGATGGAGGAGAAGCTTCTTCCAGGATCCTACCCAGCCACTCTGTTTTGACTCAGCGGTCAATTTAATATCGCCGAGTCTTAACTCGGCCTCCTCTTCGCTAACCGAGGTTTTCTTAAGAACTCGTGTTGCCTCACTGAGTTCACCTCGAGTTACAAGCCAACCCGGTGATTCAGGCAAAGTGAGTAGCATAGCTAAAGCTAACAAAAATGACGGAATCGTTCCGAGTCCTAACTGGAGTCGCCAAGTGAAAAGCTTCTTGGAAGTGAAACGAGCAAAGATATTGTCAAATAAATATCCGATACTCCAAAAGACTTCAGGGAAAGTCGTTAAGAACCCGCGAGTCGAATCGGGGGATAACTCGGTAATGTAAACGGGAGTTACAGCTTGTACAAAACTAATTCCGATAGCAAATAAAAGGCAACCCGTCACGAACACGACATAGTTTAGAGCTAGACAGCTGGTGACCAGAGAACCGAGGAAAAAGAAAATCATAGACAAAATCAAACTATATTTACGGCCAATAAGATCAGACAAAGTTCCAGCAGTTAACGATGCTATTGAATGGAAAATGATTAAAAAGTAAAATAAATTTTCCATCTTTCTTCTGCTGATTTCATCGCTTTTCATGAAAAAATCCGCTGTTTCACTGCTCAAATCATTATAGTCTGAAAAAAAACGAAAAAAAAAAAAGAATTTGAGAACTGTTTTAACTTTTAAGCAGAGTCAAAAGAAATAATGCTGTAAAAAAGAACGATAATTGAAGACTGAGAGAAGGGGAAACTCACGTAAGCCAGATAGAAATGAAGTCATGGAGGCGAGGATTGCACATGTTAACGTAAACTTTGTTAAAGCCATGCTAGGGAGTTCAAGGAAGCATTCAACTGGTTAGGCCAAAGAACACCAGAAATTTTCAGGTTATAATCATTCAAAGTTTAAGCTCAGTGATTGATGAGAAATGTTGATTTTTCTTCTGTCTACCGAAAGTCAAATAATAAGTCCAGGAGCAGAAAAGAATTACCTAAATTTAAAAACTAAGGCCACGAGGGCTATAATTATTAAGAGTTTAAGCTCAATGATTGATGAGAAATGTTGATTTTTCTTCTGTCTACCGAAAGTCAAATATTAAGTCCCGTAGTAGAAAAGAACAAGGGGATACGCTTGGGGGTTCACGCACTAAATATATTATTCATTTTTATTTTAAAACTTTATGATTTTATTTCATAAATCTTAATTAACGTGTCATAATAGATTTTATAAATTATGAAATCGAGAGGTCATAAATTTTTTTTTGTTAAAATTTAATATTTTTATTACATTCAACATAAAATATACACAGAATTAAAATCACGTTGTGACATTTTTTGAATTCTCAAAACTTCTATTACTTTTTTCTCGTAGGAATAGAGAACCTCTCATCGTCTCGATTGTGCTATTGGAGGCTGTGTGAAAGTCGGAATAGGAAAGCACTCGTCCTGGGGTGACACATTAAAATTTTAAAGGTAATTTTTATTAGGGTGTCACAGATTTTTTTTGTTAACATAAAATATACATAAAATTAAAATTACATAAGATCTTAAGATTTTAAAAATAATTTTCATCGTTAATATTTAAATTCATTAAAATTTTAAAAGTAATTCTTACGATATAATATTTAGTATATATAAAATCAAAATTATATCAAATATTAAAATTTTAAAAATGACTCCTACCGTATAATATTTAATTCTTTTGAGATTTTAAAGATGTTTCTTATGATATAATACTAACTCTCGTTCAATTAATAATTGTGTGAAAATTTATACTTAATTTATAAGATATTATTCGTTTTTATCTAAAATTTTAAAATTTTATTTTATAAAAAATATCATATAAATTTAAATTTAAATCTTAACTTATATATCATAATAAATTTCTAAAATATCATGATATAAGATTGGACTTCACAATACTAATTCTGTGATGATACAGGATCTGCTGTAGCCGCATGCTTTTTTTTATTATTGGTAGTATTCAAGCTACAGGCAGCCTTTCCTTTCGATTTTCCGTTGGCATTTGTATTTGTGTATTTATTTTGTATTAAATATTTATAAAATATAAAAATTATTATATAATAATTTATATTTATATGTCAAATATAAAATATATATTTATTTTTATTAAATTTATGCAAATTTTTATCAAATTTTAATTATTGTTGCTTTTATATCTTTTATTTGTATATTTTTGCATCTCAATATATTGTATCTAACATTATTAGCACTTCATTCTTCATAACCAGCAAAATGTAAATGGATATAAGACAGAAGAAGTTCTTCAAAAATTTCTTTATCTAAATTATCAAAATAATGCATTCAAATTCTCTCTTATATACACATTCTTTTTTTTTTCTTTTTTTTTTTTTTTCATTTCCATTGTTATAAAAATGAGAAGAAAAATGCACATTTTCTCTTCTTATGGTGGCAAGTCTTAATTTTTTTGCAGGTCAGATGGAGGCAGAAAATGATCCTTTGACAAACCCCATACATTGAAATCTACTTCTTCAATTTTCCATTTCTCGACAATCAGCCTCTTGTGATTAGCAGATTGCTCTCCATATCTAAACACTGTGACGCTTGTTTTACCACAACGCGCAATGTTAACGCCATCAACATACTTATAGTCATCCATAGCTGACTCTGTCCTAGTCTCCCAAAAAACATCATTGTCATCCTTGGTTTTCATCATCAGTAGTCTGGAATCCTCAAATTGAATCAAGAGACCAGACCTCTGGCTGAAGTAGCCCCAGATTGTGTGGTGGATGATCTCATAGTTTGGTCCACTTTGAGCCTCACGGATGGCAGGACTTGTCTCAAGCTTGAGGATAAAACAGTCTTCATTGTTTATAATTTTCTCTCCTATGCATGTTGCATCTATAAACAAATTGGCCGTGGACCTTGGATCCAATCCTTAGCACAGAATGGAAAAAAAAAAAAAAGTCAAAAGGAGAATAAATGCTTGTATTGTATGTATAAATTTGATAATGAGAATGAAAGATACCTGAAGAAACCGGCGCAAGGGTCTAGGAGGACCTTTTGAAATGGGAGTTTGTTGATTAGAGGAATGCCTCCAGGAAAGTTTGCCATTGCTTCCACAAATCACCTTGCATCCTGATACAATAAGCTCCAAACACCATAAATCTGGATCTTTTTGCCAGAGTACATATCCACCCATTTCCTCCGTGCTCTTCACATTAATCCTTGCATCAGCTTGGTGAAACTCTGATGCAGTAATTTTCACCTGACCAGTTACACACATGCTATTCACTGCGTTTAATGCCTGTTGTCCTCCTGTAGCAGCTATATACTGCTGCACAATGTATTTTGCTGTTGAAGCTTGCTGAGGAGGAAACAAAGTTGAGTTAATAATTAAAGTCCTTAATATAACACTTATTTCCCATGTGTCTGTTTATCAAACTCATTTCTTATTGAAATTTTATTCAAAAACAAGTTTTTGCGTGTTTGGTTTTTGAGTTTATGACAAAAATAGCCTATAATCTAAACAAGGAAATGTATAGTTGTATATTAAAACATGGCTGTGGAGTTATTGAGAGGAGGGTAACAATATCCTTACAATTGAGCAATCTTTGACAGGCTTTTAAATAGAGTGGCCCAATTGCACCTGGAGAGGAATAAGAGGAGATCCAACAAGGTAAAGAAAGAAGCGTAGCTCGTTAATACGACCTGCAATGACAGGTTGCGACCACTTATCCGAGGTTTGAGCCTTCATCCATGTTAACATATTTGCCAAACGCACTTGCAGATTGTTTCCCATGCTGGTGAATTTCTTCGGGTACTGGGACCTCGAGAACCGTCTCAAGGCCATCGTCTCTGTCAATATTTGGACAAAGTTTCCTCATTTAACAATTTCAGAGACGGGAAAAAATAAAAAAAAGATAGAAAATGAAGAAATCAGTAATTGGTTAGAGATGCAAAAGGAAGAGATAGAATTCGAGTCAAAACACCAAGTACCCTTTCTCCTCCTGGACCTCTATCCTGAGAGTGAAAAAGGGAAATACGTGGGGAAGATGAGAGCAAGAGATTTGCCTAAAGGGCTCTCCTTACTTGTAGGAGTCGTGTGGGCACGATTTATATACATTTTAAGCTAAGCCGATTCAGATTGTTTACGAAGTTTCCAAAAAGGGGGGGGGGGGGGGGTTGGGTTTAGAGCAACCTATATTGTTTCAAATTTTCTTGCCAAGTGCTTATTCAGAATTGGCTGGAGTGGCTTAAAGCTTTGAGATTTGAGGCCCCAAAATTCCGTTGATTTAGAAGACGAGCTTACATATCGTTACGCATGGACTATTTTAATGGAAGAAAGTTGAACATGCATAGTTTGAAACCCTCTTACAACGTTCCATTACTCTTCAAAATCAAGAAATATTTCTTCCAGAAGAAATATATAGTTTCTCCCTCCCTGATTTCATCCTTTCTTTCCTCTAACCAGATTACAGAAGGTTATGAAGAAAATTTAACCTGGTGAAAACTTCTGTAAGAGAAGAATTAAAACATGGGATCAATAGACCGTTTCCATGATTGCCTTATCGTTCTACCAAAGGTCGCTATGTTTTAACTGGCAGAGATTGAAAGGAAAGATTTCACACATCAGGATAAGGAAAACGACTAAATTGATTTGCGATAAAGCAGCCAAAAATTGAGTGGTAGGCCATCGTGACAAACTTCATTTTCAGATCCCACCCATAAGAAATGGGAAAGAGAACGCGAGAGAGAGAGATCAGAGGGGGAAACTGGAAAGTAAGTGTGCAAATAAATGTATCCGAAAATGAAATGGAAAGTAACTTAATCAACATTGATCCAACTTAATTTTGCATAGAAACACTACCATTTTACATAGAAAACAACACGAAAATGCCAGTTCTTGCTTTAAATTTAACTGTCAACAGTACAAAGTCCTACTAAACATTATTGCTTGTGGGCTGAATTTCTAAGCCTTCGTTTATAGGCCTTTTGTTCCTGCTGAAGAGCGTCTCTATCTCTTCCAGGGTCTTTCCCTTGGTCTCAGGCAATAGAAAGAAGAAAAACCACCAGGCCACTACAGCTAGTCCTGCAAACATAAAGAATGCACCTCCTATGGTAATTGCTTTATAGATTGAGATAAAGCTCATGGAAACTGTGGCATTCATGAGCCTGTTGACAGCCACACCAATACTGGCCCCTTGTGCCCTTAACTTGAGAGGAAATATCTCAGAACTATAAACCCAGGTGATGGGCCCAAGCCCTATAGAAAAGAAAGCTACGTAAGTATATGTAAATACAATACTTAGACATAATGCCCAGAAAAGCTGCTCCTCGGAGTGCAGCTCTACCATGGTCAAGGCAAATCCTAACCCTGTCAAGGCTACAACCATTCCTCCGACGCTTGTCAATAAAAGACGTCTTCTCCCAACTCTGTCTAGAAAAAATGTTGCTATTAAGATGAACGTTGTTTTAGTAAGACCTACCCCAACTGTGGCAAGCAGAAGCTTGTTCTTGCTGGTGACTCCAGCTTTTTTGAAAATTCTTGGACCATATAAAACAACTGCTTCAATGCCTGTTGCATGCTCAAAGAAATGGATTCCGATAGCCGCAATTAGAATCCAACGTACGGTACGTGTAGGCCTTAACAAAAGATCTTTCCACACGCCTTGACCGTGATGGATACTAGGAGGTTTGACAACATCCTCAATGCAATTTGCATCTATTCCAGCTGCAACTTTTATGTCCTCAAACCGAGATTCAGCTTCTTCTTTGCTGTTGGAAACCAGTAACAGGACTTTCATGGCGTCTCTTAAACGACCTTCTAATACTAACCATCTGGGAGACTCTGGCATTTTCTGTATGCCAAATGCTAAGGCAAGTGAAGGAATAGCTGCAACCCCAAGCATCATCCTCCAGCCAAGTCTCAAGGTCAATTTTCCAAAGAAGTAATTGGATGTGTAGCCAAGTAAGATGCCAAAACTGATGCAAAGCTCAGGTAGAGAAGTCAAGAAACCTCGCGTCGAAGGAGATGAAATCTCTGCTGAGTAAACTGGAGCAATCATAAGGGCAAAGCCCACACCAACCCCAGCAGTACATCTTCCGGTCATTAGGATGGCATAGTTTGGGGCATAACCCATTAAAACTGAACCAAGCAGGAAAATTATTGAGGCTAAGACAATTGTATATCGACGTCCAATATAATCAGATGTTCTTCCTGCTGCCAGAGAACCAACCAGGGCGCATATATTTAGAATTCCGGCCAGGACTTCTACTTGGACGTCACTAATTTTGAGATCCTCCTTTATAAAAATCATGGCTCCACTCATAACTCCAGTATCTGAAAAACAATTGGACAATTACTTTTCGTAATTAGATGAACATGATGGCTATAATGCATGTCAATATAAACTTGGCAATGGAAACTTAAATTGCATCTTGGCTCTAATACGTGTATATGAAGAAGGAGAGATAAGTGGTTACCATAACCAAATATGATGGAGATGATAGATGCAATAAGAGCACAAGAACAAGCATATTTGTTGAAGCTTGTCTGGTTTTCCACACCCTCGGTTGCCATTGAAGCCTAACTCTCTCTGAGCTTCTTCGTACAAGTTCTTTGTTAATTGTTACATATGACAATAATCTTCCAAAGCTTGACTATACATAGACAAATGAGATGAGATAAAGGGTTTCAACGATATCTGGATCACCTCAAAAGGTAGATATTTAAGGCAAATAGCATGTAATTTTTTAAAAACAGTTTAAACCAAAAAAACACAAAAAAAAAAAAATTTTAAACATCCAGTAAAAAACATTACTTTTCACCAATTCATAGTTTTTAATAAAAATGAAATCGTATTGAGATCATCCTATAAAGCCAATTACCAAATATCTGCAGTTAATTAGGTCAATTTTAAAAGAAATAAATTAATTTGTAATTTGTAATTTGGAAAAGTTGACCAAATTCGGAGGATTGACTTAATTCCATATTTTTATGAAATTTTGGGATATTGTCATTATCTATTGGACTAACCTTTCTTCAGCACTTCTTATTTACTTATTTAATTTGGATAAGAATGCCAAGCAATCTGACCTATATTTTCAACAGATTGATGCCCCATTGACTAAGCATTTCGATTTATTGAGATAACAGATCAACATTGTTGATGCAAAAATTGTTGGATTACATCTTTTATGAGATATTATCCACAAAATAATGCATGCTATTTTTTTTTAATTTATATCTATATATGTAATGAATCTGATCTCTTCATTGTCGGTTCGTGGTTCATTGGTATTTACTTGGCATTCTAATTTTTTGTATTAAAATAGATTGCTTCAAGGTCTAATTATGAATTATGTACTATGATCTCGTGTTTAGTTCAGTTTTACAAACAAAAGGCTTGCTTGACATATCATTTCATGGAACGAAAGGCGATCCCTGAAACCCAATTTCGTCGTATAGTTGGAATTAGCAAATGGACTTTTTCTTTATATTCCATTTCTGTGAATTTGGCAAGCAGTTTTACAGTCTAATAATACATATACAAGGACGTCACCAACTAAGACAGGTGAAATAGCAGTAATGGATTTCACATTAGGAAAATGGAAGGTATCGGTCGTGGGGAGTTTTTAGTGGTGGCAAGTCCAGGTTAAAGTGGTCTCCATATCCCTTTTATACATCGAATGTACAATGCATCCAGCAGAGTCAAAAACCTACTGACCCATATGCCTCAAGTGGGTTGGAAGCTGCAAAATAAATAATTCAAATCCTTCCGGCCAAAAAGTCGCCAGAATCAGGCAAATAGAGATTGGCCAATGCAGCCACAGCCCACTTTGTTATTAATTAGTCAACATTGTCTAGCCGATTATTGGCTGGTTGGTTGACGTGACCAAATTGATCAGAATCAGATCTTCATTTTTTTTTTTTTTCTAGAGAAGTAGAAAATGAGTTTACCATATGCGCTTCAAACCTATAGCAGAAGTTCTCGGATGGATCAAGTAACTGCTGTACGCAGAAAAAGAGCTTTAGTCTTCTTCGTGTATAAATAAATTAATATAAACACTTCCATTTCGTTGATAATGAGTTCAGAAGTGATGCTTATTTCGTTCATATGTCAATATGTCATGTTGCAGATTTATGGAAATTTTGTGTTAAAAAATTCAATGTCATGTTCAACACTTTGGCTGTCCCATGCAGGTTTTTGTTAGGATTCGCAAAGTCCTGGTAGGCCAAACCTAAAAGCAGTCAACTTGTAGCAAGCTTGACACTCTTCTTTTCAAACTGTCAATTTGGTTCCATTACATCAGAATCAGACCAAAGGTAGATATTATAATATCTTTCTTTACATCAGACAATAAACAGTAAGGCAAAGCATCTAATATTAGTAAAGTCCAATACAATCCCACCCACCATCTTAGTTTATTTTCATTAGTTAGGGTAGGAGTTTCTCTAATTCCAGACCAAAACAGGATGAAAATATCAAATATCACCAGCCTGCCTGATCTGATAACTTTCTGTCACATTCACATCTTTGGTACCTTTTTATTGTTCAAATTAGTGTATGAAAGTGGGCCAGTATACTGGCTTTTCCGAAGACCTAAACTTACCTGAAAAAAGGACCGGTTGCTTTCAACTTTCAACTAATAGGGGAAGATTTTCGTGTATTTTGCGCGTTAAAGTTTTTGCCAGCAAATGTTACGGACAGAATCTTAGCTGATCTTTGGAATATTTTGTAGCCTAAAATAAGAACCACCCTATTATGAGCCTGCAATGTAACTTTTTTACTTTGAAACTGTTTGAAATTGATTGAAACTAATAGTTCCATGAACTAAATGAGATCTATCAGGAACAATATAATACTAGATGTCTAAGTTAATTATTGATTCTTTGATTGAGAACCTGATTAAATAACTTTACTAATGTTTAGATTATTGTGCCTAGTGAACCTGCAATTCATTTTGCTGTGCTTAATATAGACTGCTTCGTTGCCCATCCCTTTCAGTTTATGGCCCAATTGATAATCAAAATTTCAAGTTTAGGCCTTGCAATATATTTATGGAGCCTGTGGAGAAGACTGGGGCTGCCACTTTCTTGGACAGAAAAGATGGACCAAACAATATCAATCCATGAACTAGCAACAATATTAGCCAATTGTCTACTGACTTGTGTATCAGACTATGACACAGTCTGAGCAGACCCCATGATCACTTGAACCCAAGTCTTAAGTCTCAAATCTCAATAGTCTTAGTGGGGCTTGAAGTCTTTAACCATTTAGCCTAATTCCCAGGAACAGCCAGTTACAAGGCCAGAGGTCACTTCAGAAATAGAGCCATCTTAACCCAAGAATCCAGGATCCGTCTGTTTGAGAGCCCAACTAAAATGGCCTTTTTATAGATTAACGTTCGAAATTTCAAAACACTCAAAAAACCGACAATTTGAGACTTGGGGAGTGGCGCAAACAGACTCTGGTCTCAGATGAGGGTTAAGGTCTGACCAGTTTGGGGAGCCCAGGGAAGCAATCATGTTGGAGACAATTGAGTGCAAAAGAAGCTTCAAAAATGATCCATGTCCCTTTAAAAGTTAATAAAGGAAAAAATATTTGGATGATTTTGTTTCCTTGGATCCCCACCACGTGCTAGAGGAGGAGCTTCTTCGTATTGACTTTCTTAGAGTCTACTTTGTGCCCCAGAGACTTATTTATATTAACAACCCTTTACAATACAAAAGATAGGCCCCCCCAACCTTTTCCCCTGTTGCACGCGTTTACTCTTCCTTACTTCATTTCGTATGTATAAAAAATCCCAGTACTATCAACTTCGAAAGGACAACACTTGCTTACAAGTTGCTTTAATTTAAGTGTATTTCTTTTCTTTTGGACTATGTGAAGCCTAAACCGCTAGCAGTGAAAATTTTTACCCATCATTCAAGAACAATAACTTTATGAGTTGGCGATTATACCAAGGGTTTATATGCTTGGAGCTTCAGGCAGCTCCCATTAGGCTCCTCTGCCGCCTATGGAGAACTTATATCATAATTCAAGCAAACCAACTTTAATAAAAGGATAATAAAGTGCGTCCCGAAGACTTTTAATTCAAGCATAGCAATGAAAAATGACAGTGGTACAGCAGTAAATGAACCCGATCGAGCTGAAATGCTCACTAAGGACGAGCTTCAGGGGTTGGTTATTTGGTTGAGATGTAGAAATTAGATGGATACACGTACTTGATCCTTTTAGCAAGGCAGGCGATGGCCTATGAGCACTACTTTTGATGAGAACGACTTATCGAATCCTAACATTTTGCAGTGATCGCCATAATTGCTATTGATTAGGTTACCCCATGGCAGTGTGATGACCCTCCTGGCCCTGGATCGTCTTTTTTGCTTTATCACCTGGTACTCTATTCACCATTTGAAAAGAAAAAGGGAAAACAAAAAATTTGCTGTGATGAACATGGCTGCTATTGATCAGTTACTATCAAAGTGGGGGAGAGTAGCTCTAGTCCCTTGAAAACATGGTGATCATAAGCTCAATAACTCAAGATTAGTCAACATGTAGTTACAATAATCCTTTCTTTAATGATATATAAAATTATTGCTTGTGATTGGTGAATCTCCTACATATATCAACTTGAAAAAATAACTTTTTTTAATCAATTAAACCACGGTCTTCCAAGATAGCGTGGAAAGGTGAGCAAAACAAGCTGTGCAGATTGATTATTGCTTCAACATGACATTAACACTCGCTGGTTTTTGTAGTTTCCCTACGGCAAAAGAAGCTGTAGCACTCCAAGTTCATTTATTTCACTTCCTGTAGCAGATGACGGAAACCAATAAATTTGCCATTCCCTTTTTTTTTTTTAACAAACAAAAAGCCAAAGAAACCCCGGATCTTCATTCTTCCCTATGTATATATAAGCCTAACTCTCTCAGACAACATGTCTTGGTCTTGGACAATGCATATCGCTTCAAGACAAATCTAAACAGAAATCTACCAAAAAATATGGCGAAGCGTTTCAAGCTTAAGATATCCCGCGTCTTCCCTTCATTCCAATCTTGCCGTTCAAAAGACCCTTCTGATCTCCCATCAAATCCTGTCCCTTCAGTGTTCAGAGTTTCTTCAGGCAATCCCAACCATGTCACCCTCCATTTACCCCCATCCTCACAACCAACCTTAAAGCTGCCTCATTATTCCTCCCTCAAACGCCACGTTTCTTCAGCGTTCTCGTCAATCGGCTGTGGCCTCGGATCAAGATCATCCGCACAGTACTACTCTGAAACTGACTGTAGTGAATCGCCACCGCCACCAACACCGGAGTTTCACTGGGAAAAAGAAGACAGATGGCACGTTATCGCCAAAGTTTACGACGATGACGAGACCCCTCGTCGCAAAATCTACAATACCTCCGAAAATGACGACGACTTGTTTCCTCCTCCACCGCCTCCCAACACGGAGAAGAAAAAACGACGATACAAGAAGAAGAGAACTACGCAAAAAATCCGTATAAGCACCTCATCAGCCGACAGCGGATTGTTTAGCAGCGAAAGTTTTGACGACGATGACATTAACGACGAAGAAACAGAGACCCTAGTCTCGTCGTCTAGGAGCTTATCCGCGGATTCCTCTTCAGAGTTCAAAGCAAACTCAGAAACCAAACTCGAAACGATGCCTACGAGGCATAAAAAGAATAAGAAAAAAAAGAAAGTTAAGAAGGCAAAAAGGTACGCTGTGAAAGAGAGGAATGTGATGGTGAGATTATCGTCGTCAGAGAGCGAATCACCGGCAAGGTTGTCGAGTTTTTTGCAACGGATGATACCGTGCACGGTGGATGGGAAAGTAAGGGAGAGTTTTGCTGTGGTGAAGAAATCGGAGGACCCATACGAGGATTTTAAGAAGTCGATGATGGAGATGATATTGCAGAAGCAAATGTTTGAAGACAAAGACTTGGAACAGCTCTTGCATTGTTTCTTGTCTTTGAATTCAAGGCATCATCATGGGATTATAGTCCAGGCTTTTGTTGAGATTTGGGAGGCTTTGTTTTCTCGTAGATCGACCAGTTTTCGACTTTCATGTGCTCTTAAATCTTAATATCAATGAATATGTGAATTCATTCAGATCCATTTGACCTTCAATCAAGCGCAAAGGCAGTTTCTCGGTCCTTATATCATGCAATCAACCACAAAATTTACATGTATGAATTTCAAGTTGGCTGCCAAATGTAAGAAAATGTGTCCATACCTAAGAGCTATGCCAAAGTTAGTGCTGTCTTTGCATGCGGGCGAGGCCTGCAATGCCCTTTGCTGTCTTGTATTTATTGCATTTTACTTTTTAATTTCAGCTGCCTTCAATGCTTCCTTCCATTTGCACCTTCTAACTTGCAGGCTTTAGTTTTTACATTTTTGCAGAAACATTCTGTTTGAAAAAAGAGATTGAACCCAAATATGAGCCCCGAAAGGATTGAGGGGGCGAGAACTAGGGGTTAAACAAACCGAGTGGAATTAATGTAACGGAAACTCAGTTCGATTTAAAATAAAAATTAAGCTATTCAATTTTGTTTTATTAAACTCATTTAATAAAAATATATTTGAGTTTCATATTCGATTATGTGTGTAAATTGGAAATTAAATTTAAATTTATATATAAAAATAAAATAATAAAAATATATCAAAATTTAAAATTTTGATTAAATTTGTTAATTTATTTAAATTCGAATAGATTAATAAATTAAATTGTTCAAATTTAAATTTAATTTACATTTTATTTAAATAAAATTTAAATAATTTTATAAATATTAATATATCATTTATATTTTATCGAAATTTTCAGGAGGATTCGATCAATTTCCGGACGGTGAAAAAAAAAAGGGAAAAAATGAAAAGGTGCTCCGCAGCTAGTAAACAAGTGATGCATAATTATTATTATTGACCAAAAACTGGATTGGCTAATGATTAAAAAACAGTCCAGGAAATGATACATGTTGCTTAAATTTGGACATTGATGCCATCAATCTCCATCGTCTCCGCTTTGCACGGCGATTATTCCCTTGCACATGTTTTTTTGTTTTTGTTTCTAACTGATCAACCACTTGTTTCACTCTTAAATCTTAATTGGCTGAGACCAAGCTATCACTCTTTAGGACAAAGTGCCCCAAAACCAGAGAATGAAGGACTTGGATTGGACCCTCATTCTTTATTTGACATATTAATATATTATTAATTGGCTAGAAAATTGAAAATCATTTGGTTAATGTCCCATAATCATGAAAAATGATGTGTAGAAGATCAAGACTTCATTTGTCTTTCTTCTTTGCAGTCTAATTGTACATTAAGACTCTTGATTAAGAAAAATATTGTTTAATTATCAAAGTAGGCTTGGGCTTTGAACTGCCCTCTGCTGCTGCAAGTGCATATCAATGTCTATTGATGATCAATCACCGCTTATTATCTCTGTTGAGATAGGGAGTGAAGGTGAGACCAAAAACATTTTTTTTTGCCAGTAAAAAATTTAAGAGCACGAAATATTATTTCATTTTTAAAATTAGTGTAAACTGTTAATGTGTCAATCAATCTTAGAAAAATTTTGAAAATTTGTTATAATATATTGATAAAATTTTAAATTTAAATTTATAAAATATTTTTTACGAAGTAAAATTATAAAAATTTTAAATCAAAATAAACAATATATCATATTTAATGTAAATCTCTAAAATTAATTTAAAAAATTTTACTCATTTCTAAAAATTTTTTAAATTTATAAATCATTTATTAGTAAAAAATTATAACAAATTAAATTTAAATATTTTATATTAAAAAATTTTACATTTTAACCACTTGCGTCACGGACCCAATACTTCAGTAAAAGCGAAAGTATATGCAGTTTAACTAAGCTGGTGGTTTGATTGGGTCAGTTGAGTTTCGTAAATGACACGCCATTGCCATAGCTTCAGAAAACCCATTTTAACTGCCAGTAAAGGATTATGTCAATAAAGAAGAGCATACACGGTATCAGAGATTCCTTACCAACCTAAAGAAACTGAGGAAGATGCCCGCTTCTTCCCATAAAAATTAAAAAAAAAATGAAAATTACTTTTTACTCTTTGGGCAGCTTGAGATTTGATCTTTCGAATCTCCGATGTATCCGACATATATCGAGTTTCCAAGCACGCTGGCTCACCCTTTTTACTGTTTAGTGTTTAATCCCGTCGTGTTGCTGTGACTCAGTAGTAACGGAAGCTCACGGCTGATTCGACGTTGGAATTTCCTAATTTTTTTAACCTTGGGATTTGAGATTAGAATTAGAATTACATGGAGATCTGTTTTGGTTATTACGGTTAAATTTTGAGTAATATAAAATATTAAAAAAATTATATTGATACATTATTAATATATTTTTATATATTATTAATAAATTAAATAATAATAATTTATTAATAAATAAATATTAATTTTTAAAATAAATAACACAAATTAAACTAATTTATTCATTAATAAAATATTATTACTTTATTCATTTTATTAATAAATTATCATAATTTAATTAATTGATAATATATAAATTTTATATATTGATAATATATTAAATATAAATTTACATTAAAATTGATATATTCGGATAATATTTTATATAAAAATATAAAATATATATTTATTAATTTTATTAAATTTATATATAATTATTATTGAAAATTTTAGATCATAATATTTTTATTTTTTTATAATAACACATCATCATCATCATATCTGTCTCATCTTTTTTTGAAATGTTTAAATTAGATTAGACCCAGCAGAAATAACCAATTCGCATACATTGTTTAGGCTCAATACGAGTTAATGGCTTTCTAGCCCAACTTTTAGGCCAGCAAGTTTACCTACATATTTTGCAGGACTCAATCGACTATTCCATCACTTTTACAACTCGTAGCTCATTGAAAAGCTGAGTCAATCTACGAAACTCGCATTAAGACATTGTATTAACAGTGAGGAATACGCAGTTATGGAAGAAGTTAGATTTTAGGTCTTCATACAGCAATAGAGAACAATTCATATCATCATTTGTATTACCATGAGAAACAAAATGCATTACAATTAGTGAATAAAGAGAAAACAGACTGATCTTCAACTTGCAGATGGAGGTGGGGGAGGGGGTGGCATTGACATTTGTGGCATAGGGGGCCTTCCACCCATTTGCTGTGGTGGTGGTGGTGGTGGGGGCCAAACATGTGGTGTTCCCATTCCCATAGGTGGGGGAGGCCTTGAAAGAGATGAATGTGGAGGTGGTGGTGGCATGTTTGGTGGAGGTGGTCTGAATTGCATAGGCGGAGGCATGACTGGAGGCGGAATTGGTTGCACTGGTTGCTGTGGTTGACCCTGCCAAGGCGCTTGTCCTGCAAGCTGCATTGGTGGGAAGGGTACACTTTGAGGTGGTGGAGGACGAACTACTGGCATTGGGCCAGGAGGAATAGTACCATTTGCAAAAGGTCGTGGAGGCACTGGTGCTCCTAGAGCACCATTGGCCTGGGGACCAGAGGGGAGTGTTGGAGGTCCGCTTGCGAACAAGGTATGGGGCCTGCTCTTCTGGGCATTTGGATTGCTTGCAGCCAATACCCTCTCTATATAAGAGAATGAAGAAAAAAATTTCAAAACCTACATATCAATCTATTGGGAAAAGGCCATCAAAAAAGGAAAAATGACGAAGGGGGAAGGCGTGGGGGTGAAAAAACTCACCAGCTGGGGTGCCATGGCGCTCCCCTTTGGTGTCTTTCTTGTATGCATAAGAAACCGTTATTTGACGATTACAGAGGTATTGGCCATTCATTGCCTGCAACATCAAAGAGTAAAAGTGAACACATTTTGCAAAATAGATGAAACAAAATCAAAGGTTTTTAGACTGTCACATCACGTATTGAACCAGGGATGCACTGACAACAGCAATAATTAATTCCAATTAGCAAATAACTTTGTCAACGATATCAAGTTCTTCTAAATTTTTAAAAACTAACACCAAGAAACCAAATAATTACTGAAGTTTTGCCAAACAATTGAAGCCAGAATGTAAACAATGATGTTACTTTGAAACTCACAATAATAGCAAAAAAACATAATCAAAGTTTCATCCAAATGTCTTAGCAATGCTTGGGGGTTAAACTCTTTAATCTTTTCTTAATGTTTTCTTGATGTTGTATGTTGGTAGGAGTTAGTTATTGAGAACTGTTAATTCCCTGTTCGCTTGAAATCACATAGCGTCGGCAGGAACTGTTGCTATGTAACACTTTTCAACTGCTTCTTGGATAAATAGAAACCAATTCCTTGTCCAAAAAAAAAATGTTCACGTGATGGAATCATGGAATCTTAAAAACAGTTCAAGCTAATGCAAGTGGCAATGTAGACATACCTCAATAGCAGCATCAGACGCCTCAAATGAATCATAGCTGATGAATCCAAAACCACGTGAATTTCCGGACTCAGGATCTCTCATTATCTGATGTCAGAAAGTGGTAAACATCAGAACCCACTTGAAATTTTGGAGAACAAACAATATTTTAAAAAGAAATTAACTATTTTAAATATATAGTCAACTTCTTATTCACTTTCTGAACCCACCATAAATGCCTTTCAAGAGATGAGCAGAATGAGACTACAAGATAATATTAGTTTCCATATCATTCGGTTCTCCAGAAACAAAAATAAAGAATATGAGCATTCTGGTCCATCTAATAGATTACGTCATTCCATGACAATGCAAATATATTCAAAACCAACACTAAGGAAATCTGGCCGCTCATAACATACATGGTCCACCCTACTCAGTCAATCTCACTGGTTTCCACTTCATCTCAACATCAATCACCAATAAAATTATAATGGCAAAGGTTTAAGTTCAACTGTTCATCTACAAGCTTCAACACTCTTTTAACACTGGTGCAATGGTTGATTAAATTATAAATGACATCAAGAGATAACAAAGTATCAAAAACTAAAAAGCAAAAGTAGTCATGCTTTCATATACGGAGAAAGCATAGCTCATTAATCTATGGCATACCATCATATAAAATGAAAATAAGAAATTAGAAAGTCAGTACCTTAGGATTTGTCACAATGACTCCAAATGCACTGAAAGTATCATACAAAAGTTTCTCATCCACATCCTGAAATTATAACCAGATAATCACAAATTAAAACAGGAAATGTAGCACTTGATGGCATCTCCAAGCTTCTAACGATATGGTAATACTTACGGCGTCAAGGTTCCCAATAAAAAGGTTTGCACCGACATCTAAGCTCTTTTTATCTTGAGACGCCTGAAATCAATTAAAACAAAAAAAACCAACAAAAAAAACCATAGAAAAAAAGATTCTTTAAATGCAATACTATTCCCACTTCCAATGTAACCAAAGTCAAATTTCATACCTTATTTACGCGTATCGGCTTGCCATAAAGCTTAATCATGTTAAGCACCTTAATGGCCTAAATTTCAAACAAATAAACCTAATTATTCAAAAAGAATAAGAAAACAAAAAGGAACCCAATGGCCACAGTCCATGAAGGAAGAAGACTTACATAGTCAGCATCTTCTTCGCTTCGGAACTCTACGAACCCATATCCTTGATGCAAATTTGTCACTCTATCTTTCGGTACATAAACATTAACTGAAACAATTAAAAAAAAAGCAAAGCATTTCAATTAATTTGATTAAAACGTCAACAATATGACTTGTTCGAAAAATGTCTGAATCAAAATTGAACTTCAGTAGCTTAAAGGTGAAATAAAATTGATGAACGTAAGATTATTGAACGTACCAACAGGACCAGCTTGAACGAATAACTCCCACAATAACTCCTCAGATACTTGAGGATCGAGATTGCCGACGTAAGCAGTGGCGTCTTGGTTCCTCTCAGCGGAATGTTGACCAAGCAAGTTGGCTCCAACTCCTGGAGCGATTCGCGTCGTCATTTGCTTTGCTCTTTGCTATTCTTCCCGTTGCTTTAGTTGATGCTTTGGGTAGTTTCCTAAAACCCTGGTTATGCTCTATCGCGTTTTCTGGTTTCTGACCTAGAATTAGAAAGAAAGGTTAAGTAATGGGCTGCGTTTCGCAATGGAGTCCATTCCCCATAGGCGATTTCTAGCTTTCGACTCCTGATCCTGGCCCATTTAATAGATAGTCGGCTTTTCTGTTCTCAATTGGTTGGGCCATGTACCAATGTTCATCATTATAGGCAAAAAAAACAAAAAAAAACTTTTTGTTTAGTAGGTACTGGTTAGTGGTAGGAATGTAATGGATAGCGTATGAGGTGCATAAAGTATTTTTTATTTTCAAATTTTTATATTATAATGATTTTCATATTTATATTTAACGAATATTTTAAATTTATCTTCATTTTTATCTCTATCTCTGTTGGTATTTAATGGATATGAATAATTTCATTCATATGGCTTTAAAAAATAAATAAAAACTAAAATGTATTTATATAATTTTTAAAATTTTTTAAAATCCTTAACCCTAAAATTTTTTAAAATTTTTTATATTGCATATTTATATAATTTTTTAATAAAAATATCAATGTGTATTTTAAATAGAAATATATTAATTCAAATCAATCTAAAATAATAATTTATATTATTTAATAAAAATTTATTTAATATATATATATATATATATTTATATATCTAGAGTATGGGCATGGGTATGGGCCAGAGCTATATTATCTGACCTTGTTATTGTATCTAATAAAAAATTTAAAATCATATTCATCTATATTCCCACAATGAAATACATATTCTGACTCCCATTTGAAAAAATAAATAAGATTACTCATTGGGTATGAATAAAATTGATATCTCTAGTTTGCAGTGTAATAATTGTAAAACTATACGATATATTTTATTATTTATTATGCATTTGTTTCTTAAATTGATTTTGCTTTATAAGCTCCACATGAAATCAAAATTACCAAGTATAGTCTTGGAAATTAGCCAAATGTTCTTCATAAGTAAAAGCAACAGCAACCAAACCTTAGCCGTCAACAAATATAACCTTTGTGGAAATTCTGATCAGTGCTTCAGGGAACATGTAAAATCAGCCTTTAATTGGTTTCAGAGCAGAAATTTTCAGTTAGTGTTGAAGAGGATGCTGAGGTCCTTCAGCAGTAAGAGCTTAGTACAACCAGATTGAAAATAGCAAGCAACAGTTTGAAAATGAGGGTAGAAAAACGTTGAATGTTATGGATAAAATAATTGAACACAAGGGTTCACTGAAGAAGAGAATTGTAGATTATTAGAATGTTCTTTCCTTCCAAAACAAGTAGACCAATAAAACAAACAAATAGCAAAATGTAACATCAATCCTTGCAATTAAAGCAGGATAGATATTTGAAAAACTATATGAAACTAAAAAATATCATCATTCAAGCTTCAGTGGCAGCTTCACATGAAACTAACATAGCTAATTGCATAATTCATCACAAGCCAAAAAACAGTCTCAGCTGCAGATGAAGTGAAAGCAGCTAACTCAACCACCAGCAAAAGACAGTTAAATCTCACTTTCTAACCTGTGGACTCTTTAGCCTCTTAAGCTTCACCACTACCAGGATTACTAGAAACCAAACCAAGTTCCACCTCAAGCTTCTTCCATGCATTCAAAAAGTTAGGAGGAAACTTCTTCTTTACCGTCCTGATCAACCCCTTTGCCTCCTTGATCTTCTTGTTCTTCACCAACCCCTCCACCAAATGCTTCAACGTATTAAAATCTGGGATCTTATGCAATCTCACACTTTCTTTAAACACCTTATAACCTTGCTCATACAAGCCATTCAAACATAAATAGAACACCAAAGTCCTAAAAGTTGCTGCATTGGGATTACACCCATTACCTTCCAATCCTTCGTAAACCTTCTTAGCTTCATCCAACATCCCATTCTTACAATAACAAGTCATCAGATAATTATAACTAATGGTATCAGGTTTCAGTCCCATGGTACTCATCTCGTCAATCAATTCCCTCACTTTCTCCGGCTCGCCGCCTTGAAAATTCATAATCCTAACATTGTAAGAAGCAACATCTAATTCACAACCATTCTTCATCATCTCACTCCACAGCTTCTCGGCCTCTTCTTCTTTTCCCTTCTTATACAAAGCATTTAAAATAGTTGTAAGAGTAACTGCATTTACCTCCACGCTTTTCCTTTCCATTTCTCTTAAAACCTCAATCCCTTTCTCGGCATGACCGGCCTCGCAATAAGATTTGATTAGAATCCCATAGGAAACTTTGTCCGGTGAGACACCACTATATTTCTTGGGAATTTCATCGAACAATTGGGGGACTTTATCGAATTGCCTTGACTGATTGCAAGCAGAGAGTAAGGAGTTGAAAGAAATGCTTGATCTCGGGGTACCAAATTGGTCCATCTGATGGAAAGTTTTAATGGCATGATCTAGCATGCCAGCGATACCATAGGATCTGATGAGAGTAGAGAGGAAGGGTTCCTCAGAAATCTTGGGGTCGGTTTTATGGGACTCGACTAAGGATTCGATGTCGGAGAAACGGCGGGACTTGGCGAGGCGGCGGACAGTGAGGTCTTGAGCGTAGCGGGAAGATGAAGGGGAAGAGTAGTGTTTGGAGACCGAAGAGTAGATTTCCAGGGCTTTGTCAGGGTCGTATTCAGTGCGGAGTTTGCTTTTGGCTTTGGAAATCGAAATGGAGGATGAAGAAGAAGAAGTAGTTGCGGTGGCAGCGGTCGAAAGGTGGCGTAGGTGGCGGAGACGGAGAGGAATAGAAGATGACATCTTCTTGGAGGGAAGCTTCGGGGGTTTCGTTAGGGTTTTAGGGTGGGCTAGGAAACGAGGGCAGCTGGAGTAAATGGTCAAGTGAGAATTAAAAGGGTTTTAGAGGAATTGGCCAATTGGGGTTAACACGTGTTATATATTGGTTGAGTGTTTTTTTCACAAAAATATTTTAATTTATTACTATGTATAAAAAAATATTTTTAACCCTTTATATCAATTGTATGCTTACAAAAAGAATTAATTATTATATTTGTAAAGTGAATTAATTCATTTTTAAATTTCATAATAAATATATAAAGAAATAATTTTCTTCTCAAAATCTTAAGATGGTTCCAACTTCTAACACTCATTAAACCTTTTATTAAACCTTTTATAGCCCCTATATGTCACCACACAAAATGCACCTCACAAACGTGGCTTCCAGTGCAAAACCAACATCAGATTAATATATTCAAGCCCTCCATATCTGTCTAGCATTCTGTTCGCTGTTTGGCTTCAAAGCAAAAAATTTAGCAAAGAATCACACTACAGGCTGTCATGGATAAAATTCTTCATACGCCATATAAATATATCTGATGACTAAACCTAAACAAGGAACCAGTACAACTATAAAGCATAGCAGAGATGACATTAGGCATCGTACTCCCCTTGTGCAAACTTGTTCTCTGGATAGAAGACAGCAATTACTTGATTTTCACCAAATTTCCGGCCATTCATTGCAGCTTGGGCTTTTCGGGAACCTTCGACGTCTGAGTACTCCAGAAACACCTGATAACGTCAAAGAATTATGGTTCGCAACTGGGTAATGCATATGTGCAACAAGCAGAAACATCCAGCAATGCATGTTGTTAACCAAACAATAGAATTTCTTACAATTAGCATACGTAACTTGCACAAAAAATGATAAACACGGTAGACAAGTTCAAACACTGACCTTTCCGACACCTGGTAATGGTTCACCATTTGGATTCGGGCGGGGGATGACAACATTAACCAACACACCTGCATATTATGTGTGAAAATTTCGAATCCCCACAAAACTTTATTCAAAGTATTAGCCAAGAGAAAATAGTATGAAAAAATTATAGATAACGGGTTATGGAGTCTCCTGTCTATATTAAACTTGATTCTTTATAGCAGAAAGTGGAACTAGAAAGGGCTGAAAAACAGTTGATACAAACACAAAAAACAAGGAAAATTAATAAAATATACAAGGGACTTGGCGTGTTAAAAAGAAGTGCCAAATACGAAAACAATGCACAAAATAGTATAAGAATAATTTTACCGTGTTTTCCACCCTCTTGTTTCATGTCTTCAACAATATCCTCGTACTCCTCGTCATCTCTAAGATCATCTTCACTAAGAGCTTGAGTCAAGCACACAACCTTTGTTGGCACACCTTGTGGCTGCAAAATAAGCCTCTGAAAAAGAAAAGGATTCAGCAAATTAGCCTATAATCTACAGACTATTAACTGCAACATATTGGACAGAATAAGATTTAGTAAAAAAGAAAAAAGTAATACTTAATCTCACCTGCAGAGCAATCTGCTGCTGTGCATGCTGGAGGATATTCTCTTGCTCAGGTCTAGGCTGGGTGGCACCCTGGTTTGCTCGCCTAACTGTGAGAGTTTTATCACCCATTTTAATTCCATTTAGAGCAGCACAAGCAATGTCTGTAACTGACAGATCTTGATAAACACAGAAGGCATAGCCTTTTGAGTTTCCAGTTTCTCTATCTTTTACTAGATCAAAACCTCGAAGGGGCCCAAAAGACTCTAACAACTCCCTGATTTGTACTTCTGTGAAGTAATATGGAAGCCCTCCCACAAAAATGCGGTCTGGACCCTCAAGCCCACCAGCAGAACCCGGAGACAGACCCACAGCAGCTAGATTAAGATTAGGACTGGGCTGGCTCGGACCAAGAGTAGCAGCAAGCGAAGGGTTATAGTCACTGGGTCTCCTCACTTTCACAGGCGCTCCCTGGAAATTTAAATAGGTTGATTCAACTTCTTGTATCTAAATGATGATGTCAGTATGAAGATCCAGAAGAAAATAAAAATACCTCAAAGATAATCCCATCTAAAGCCATTGCATTACTGGCTTCCTCAACTGATCTCATCTCTACAAAAGCAAACTTCTTTTCATGGTTTATGTAGACATTAACAACAGCATCCCCTGAACGTGACAGAAAAGATTAAGCAACTAGAGACATAAGGCAGGTCATTCAGTCATGCAATAGATCAAAAAAATTCTCAATTTACCTGGACCAGCAGTGTTTCCACCAATAGCAGCCATAACCTGGCTGAAGAAGGTCGCAACTGACTGTAAAATAATATTTAGGTAATGTTTGGATAAATATTAATAAAAAAAAGGAAAGGAAAGCAAAGGAAAAGAAAACAAAGTATTTGAAAAGAAAGGAAAGGATATATGTATCCCTTCTTTGGATAATTAAAATTAATAAAGGAAAAGAATTCTAACAACCATTGTTTGGATAAAGAGTGAAAAAGAAAAGAAATGATTCATTATAATAATTTTTTTCAATTATAACCTTTCGTTGCCGGTGATTTTAGAGCACTCTTGGACCATGATATGTTGGCTATCTTGTATGACCTCACAATTGCTGCTATATCAATGATTTTTAACCAAGTGAAACAGAAAGATGTTTTACAAACATGCATTGATAGATTTTTTTGCCATTGCCAAAATTTCAACACACTATCACTTTGACGATGTATTCATATAAAAGCTATTAAATATAAAAAATGCAATCACATAAAAGCATTATATCTCATAAACCGAAAAAATGTCTATTCATATTCAATCATTCATCATAATCAAATCACCAAAAAATTATAAAAATTTATATCGAAAGAGACATGTGAAACTTGAAAAAGAGATGACTTTGAAAAAATTATAAGATGATTGTGATGTGGTTAGGTGTTTTTTTACTAGGTTTTTAGTATTAATAAAAGGATGGATATAATAGTCTTTTTATAAAAATAAATTTTTTTTAACTTTCCTTTCCTTAGCTTTTTCTCCAAATTGGGGTATTAAAAAGTGAGGATTACAAGGAAAACCAAAGGTTATTAAGTTTCCACCTCTTTTCTTTTCTTTAAATTATAAGTTATTCAAACAAAGGAAGGGTTTTTCTGTATCCATTACTTTCCTCTATTTTCCTTTCCTTCCTTCTCCCTAAAAACATAGTGTTAGGGTCAGCTCCAGCACTAAATGCAAACATTACAATGAGTATACTAACACTAGCGTAGTGTAAAACCTGTTCGTTTGCTGTAGGAGAAAGCCCTCCAACATAGACGCGACGTGCATGCCTGGTAGCCTGAAATCAAAAGATATATAATATAAATGTCTGTAATGAAAGAAAATTATTTTCTACAGAAACAGTCTAAACCACTATATGTATGCATAATTCCCCAAACCTGCTGAGTCATTGCCTGAACTGGCATAAGTGGGAGAGCACCAAACTGCTGGAAAAAACCAAATTTACAAAAAGTTACAGAACATATGGCAAGCCCACAACTATCAAATACACAGGAGAAATACATACCTGACCAGTTGCTAGAGGAAACATATTTGGAAAGACTCCAGGTAGGGCTGGATTATTCCCAGGAATCTGGACTGTAAAGGAAATTCAGATTTCATATAAGTATATAATTATTAATAAGGGTCTTATACCTATAGCGGTTGATTCAACAAAAGGACTTTTATGCCTCATTTTCCATAGCATATCTGAACCTCTTAAAGATAAAAAGAAAAAGAACACACCATACGCAAGTTCTTGAGGAAATATTTGCAAGACTACCCAAAAAGGCTATAGTTTCCAGTGGAAAGACGAACAATGCCATTAAACTGGTGCATTGATTCCTCCTGGTACACAAAAGCTACAGAAGTCGGCTCACACCATTACCTTCTTACAACAAAGACAAAAACATAGAAACAAAACAAACAAACACACAAGACAAAACCAAAAACTCTCTCAGTTCCAGAATTATTTCACCAAGTAAAGAATTTAAAACTAATATTACAGCCCTTTTGGAAGACCACAGCTCAAAAGGCTAAATGTACAAAATGGAAAAAAAATTCAGCTTACCAAAAGCCAACCAGTATTTTTGGTAGGAACTTTCCACACTAGATTAACCAAAAAGACAAGTAGCAGTTAACAAAATATAACAATCTTAAATCTTGTGAAAGCATATATACCTGCGGTGGCAGCAGCAGCAGCACTAGAACCAGCAGCTAACATTGCTGAACCAGGAGGTGCCATGTCAAAGCCACTAATCCTTTTGCTGCAAATAAATATTCGGTATATCAGGGACAAGCAATATAATTAACATAAACTGAGGAAAAACTTTAAAATGGCCATACTTTACTTCCAAGACTTTGAACAATAAATTTACACGGAAACATGTATGCTAAAAATTACCAAATACTGTTTCAATTTCTAAAACAAGGAAACTATGCCCTTTACAAATCATAAAGTTTTTTGATAACCTACCTCTTTGATGGTGAGCGGGACCTTGACTTTGATCTATGTTCAGATCCACCCCTTGAATGAGACCTGAGGCTATGCCTGTCCTCCCTGTCTCTATCATAACCCCTCCGCCTGTAAAATTATAACTCCTTTAACAATAAAGAATAAGAACAAAAAGCATCATGCGAAAAGAGGAACAAAAACTCAAGGCATCTTAAATTGATATATTATGCTACCTGTCAAAGTCTCGACTTCGGTGATAATCATTATCATCCCCATCTCTTCCCCGATCCCTCCTCTCAATCCGTTCTCTACTTCGATCCCTATGACGATCTCTGTGATGACGGTCACGATCCTTTTCTCGGTCCCTATCCTTACTTCTCTCTCTATCCTTGTCCCTTTCCCTGTCCCTATGGCGATCACGATCCTTCTCCCTTTCCTTGTCGCGGCTTTTCTCCTTTTCCCTACTTCTAGAAGACCCTCTCTCGCTCTCACGAGATCCATGCTGCAAATAATTTAGTCATATTAACAATAACGAACATGAAATCCACAATTATATTGCTAAAAGAACTTGATTTGTGAAAAATATACCTAATCTAAAACAAAACTAACCCTAAGACATTTGCTTTTCATGAATAAGTACCTACACAACTACAAGGACATTAAAAGAAAAAAAAAACCTAGAAATTTAACAAAAGTAAAATTCCTCAAGAAATTTCTTCATAAAAATAGACTAAAACAATCAATACCAATATCTTGAAACGTGAGAGAAAAAAAAACCCTAACGTCACAAGATCTAGTCGTAGGAAACAAACGTACCTGAGATTTGGAATCGCGGCGATCATCAAGGTCACCGTTACTACCTTCGCGAGGCTGAGGAGAGGGAACGCCACCGTAACTGTTTTCTAGGTCCTCTCCGTTGCTTTGGTACTGAGCTTCGTAATCGGTCATTTTTCGTTTTGGCGATTTTGCTCGACTGTTTTTATGCCGTCTTTTGTTTCCTTGGGGACGGAATTTGGGTTTCGCATGCGACTACGGATAAAAACGATTTGAGAAATTACAATACTGCATAGTACTTTGAGACACTCATATAAGGTGTCAAATAGATGCTTAATTAAAAAACTAGCGCATGTATTAATGGATTAGGTTCGTTTAATATTGTTATTTAATATGTCGCATTGATACGAATCATAAAAATTAAGAGTCATAATTCATAAATTTTATGGGTTATATTGTGCTTAACAAAATATTTTTTTTATCATATTTGATTTAACATGATTCAATAATTTTTAAAATTTTTATAGTTATTTTAGGAATATTTTTTGTTTTTTAAATATTTTTAAAAATTAATATTTGAAATTAATATTTAAGATATATAATTTATATGATTCCATAGAATATTTATATTTATTAGTAACGATTAAAAGAATTCATCAAAATAATATATAAAGATTAACAAATATCAATATCACATCTCTATATTTAAAAAAAAATGAATATCATGTTATTATTTTATTTTTTATTTTTATCATATGATGATTCATTTATATTATATGTTTTGTTTTATTTTTAGTTTTTTTTATAATTAATTTTTAAGTAATATACATTTTATATTTTTTTAGAAAATAGTAAATTAAAATGAAAAAAAATTATAATTTTATCAATTAATAATGTAAATATTTTATAAGTAAATTATATGATATAACTTAATTTTTATAAGCTACCAATATAAAGTATCAAAAGAATAAAATAACTTCTATTATATAATAACATAAAATTCAATTAAAAATTAATAAACTAAATTTATTTATAATATTTATGAATCGATACAACACGGCATATCATGACAAACCATGTGTTATACACCGATGCAACACGGCATATCATGGCAAACCATGTGTTATACACCGTCTAAATTTGACACTTCTGGTAGATTATAACGTAGCCTGTTCGATAGTTTTCTTTTAAGGTTTTTTTTAAAATTTATTTATTATCTTCAATTTATAACCACTCTCAATGTAAAAAATTATTTAATTCATGAAACTTTTACTAACGTGATTAAAATATTATACTACATATTTTAATAAAATATATTTTAATAAATAACATATAATAACATTTGATTTTAATTTATAGTTTACTTGTGAAATGAAGTCCTAGGTTTTATCATTAAAAAAAAAAAAAAAAAACCCATGCTTTATTAAATCTTATACACAATTATTCTTTACTGTAAAAGGAACTAACTCATCTAAATCCAATAATTTGTACTTACTATTCTCTCAATCTTGGTTATATTTTTTTAATCGATTATTATTTATGTCCAAAGGGTAGAAAATTACTATTATGTGAATTCCACCAAAAAAACAAAATCATTACAATGTAATTGAGTGGCTATGCTGAAGAAGTTGATCACGCTGCATCCAATCACTAGAAAGGCAATAAGCTATACATGTTATCAACAAATTTTCTAGTACAAAGGCCAACACAAGATTTGTACATCTTCTGGCTGGCCAACAAGCTCCTCTTTCCCCCATACAAAATTAGCTTGGTTTTCCATCACCGCTTTTTAATACCCACCAATTACTTTTGTACTCGCAAAAATCGCTCATAACCTGCAAAATGAGAAAGCTTTTAGAATAGGCAATTAGGACCCTTTAAATTGAATGAGGATATGATGCATATAGATCCGACAAAATAAAGTAAGACACAAAGATGAAAAAAAATACGACGATAACATGATTTAAAATTTTATTAATAATTATATATAGATTTGACAAAACCAAAAAAATGTATTTCATGTTTTTGTGTCAACACAAATTGTAATACACAATTTTCGAGTAAAACAAGATACAAATACACAAATTTCAGTATTTTACATGAGATGAATATATGAATCACCAAGTCTAGATGCATCCAATGGCCTTCGATAATATCCGATTACACCCATCAATGCAGATGCTAGATAATTTCAAAGCCCTAGTTTTATCAAAGCATGCCTCATTGTTTAATATAAGCAATTATTAACCAGGTTCGGTTTTAAGTTGTAAATTTCCGAAGAGCATTTCACCTACAATTTTTTTTACTACAATCATACAATTATCCAATCACATTTAAGAATTATGTAGAGGTCCATCACTTATAAGTGTGGTATCCATATAAAATTTTGATGGATCCCACATAATTCTAAATTGTGATCAATTAATTGTAGGTGAAATGCTCCCAAATTTCCGAGTAACATACAGCATGAAATGATAAACTAGCAGGATTTCGCCAGCACTGTCCTTGTTAGGTAAAGCCCCTCAAAACAAGGGACATCTTGAGATCTTAATTCACATAACATTCTGTTCTTGTATGACTATCTCTATGGTGTTCCTCCGCATACTTCTCTAAGTTGCAATTATCATATTCTTCTCAATGTTTATTTCTACTGGGAAGACAGCATGCCAATGTAATAGAGCAAGCATTCTACGATTCCACCTGTACTTTCTTACATCTTTATGCATGCCTAATGTGAGTAATGCCACAAACTTACAATCTCTTTATGGTGAATCATGTCACAACCTAAAGGCAGTCTAGTGAAGAAGGGATATGAATAACCAAGATTCTCTCCGGGAAACAAACCAAAACTGGTCTCAGAAAACAATATATTAACTAGTTACACAGGATACCTTGTTATACTCATTATTAGTGATTTCCCTTTTAAGACTAAGAAGGGCAGCAGCTGTGATGTCAGCTTTCTTAAGCTTTCCTTTGACGCGAAGAAGATTAATCACAACTTCCCTGCATGGAAAAGACAACTCTGATGAAAAGGGGAAATTTGTAAAAAGAACATAGTGACCATAAAAATATGGTCCCAATTAAATTTTTAATTGAACAGATTTATGCAACCTCAATGGATCATACTCCGGATGATCTGGGGATGACTTCAGAACGAAAAGACCACCATGAAGTTCTACTGCAACTTGACTTACAACTTCCTGGAGCTCATGTTCAGGTGCATCAGCACCATATGCTGCCTTAACGACCATTCTAGCATCTGCCTTGGGAAGAGTAGACTGGGAAAGAGCCAAATCCCGTAGACCTTTGCGAATCAGTTGCAAGCTGACAACAAACAGGCAGTGTAACAAAATGGAAAAGAAGCTTTCATCAGTAGAAACTAAACGAGGCTTACATATTCACATAGGATGGGTTGAATCAAACAAACAATCAAGGGTGAAATGTCTATGGTTAAAGCCTCAAACAATCTACCTGCAAACTTTGTGAGTCTGAAACACCTTTTTCAGGGCCTTCGGTATAGCTTCTCGAGTTTCATCTGACATTGTCCTCCCAGCGTGTGCTCCAGTTGCAACCTTTCGTGCACTTTTATCAGGGTTAACAGCTTTTTCAGGTTTAATAACCGTGCCAGGCTTTGTTCTACTAGGGCCACCTTTTGCACCACGACAAATATGATTAATTACATTATCTTCTCCAGCTCTCCAGATCTGTTCTTGTTTCTTAACAATATCTGGGTAGAGTTTTTTGAATGCTTCATCAGCATTCTCTTTTAACTTCCAATCTTTGAAGGAAGGCCTTTCATTGGCTAAAATTTTCAGGAAGCCTTTCACTTCTTCTCTACGACTTGGGGAAAGGGCATTTACTTGTGCTAAGCTTATTATTGGGTTCTTGCTAAATAAGAGAAGCACATAGTCTCTTGCTAAAGATTTAGATGGATCTTCTGGAAATAATAACGAACTCTTGGGAACCCAAAGTCCTTGCACTAATAAAGCATGCTTCTGAAGGACTTCAAAAATGTCTTCAATTGAGGCATCGGGAGCAAAGTGCTTAAGAGCACTGAATCGGTGAAAAGGAGGTCCCTATTGAGAGAAGAAAAGGAATTGGAACAATGAAATGGGATATTACATGATAATACGGCTTTAGTAATCCATACCAAAGCTGGCTAAACAAAGTAAAGTTTAATCGTCTAAGTCTTAATATTTCTTCTTGGAAACTAAATTAAAAAAAAAAAAGGAAAAGAAGAAAAAGCAGGATTCTATAATTTTCTCAACTTGAAGCAAATACTATATAATAAGATCATGATCCCCAATTCTGGCAATCAAAGGCATTATAGATGCATGTAAGCTAAAAGCCTAAGTTCATTGTGAACGGATATGGCAAAAGTTTATGTTAGGTCTAGTTTGCAGTGCAACATAAAACTGCATCTTCTTATGTAATATATATCTGACAGCATCCAAACCAGGCAGACACAAACACAAACAGAAAAAGACAGTGCAATCTCTAGTTGAACAGACCTCAGACAGTAATTTCTTCAAGCGTTCTTCCAGTGGAATTGAAAGCAAAAACCTGAAAAAAATACAATGGTCCTTAAATTATTAAACATAAAGAATAGGCAGATGATGCATTTTCCATCTCATAATAATGCCATGAATATATCAAACACCGGAAAACAAGTAAACATACATATAAAACAAAAGGCAAAAATCATTCTATCTTCTTTCTTATATACCTATGGCTATTGAAGCTAGAAACAGGAACTAGAAGGGTAATCATACCTTCTAGATGGACCTTGGGTTTTATTGTTGTTACTTGCTCCAGGACACAAAGAGTCAACATAATCATACCTGGGATAATGAGAAACAATTCAAATTAACAGTAATCAGCTTATTGATGCTATAATAGTAATTTCAAACTTCAGTCAGAAGTCTTAGCTTAAGGGGCCAAAAAACAAACAGTTAATAAGCAAGTGAAAAACATACGGGCTCATGGTAAACTGAATTGGACAGCTCTCCTCTGTCATCATTCTCTGCAGATACTGAGCAGAGAAATCACTCTTGGAGCTATGATACTTGAGTGGAACCCAACACTGGAAAAGAAATAGAAAAGGAACAAAAAATAAAAGGACAGCTAATTAATTAAAAGTTTATAGAATGTAGAACAACGTCCACTATTAACACAAGTGACTACAAAGTTGGTGGAAAATCTAGCAAGCAGTAACAATATCCTATACTTACCAGCCAATTGCTCATGTTTCAATGAGAATTTAACATGTAATTAAAAAATACTGTTATGCCATATAAGTGAACGAAAGTAGAGAGTAATACCTCTTTATCATCTGCTTTTTGCTCAGTTGAGGACTGTATTCTCTTGTTCTACATCAAGGATAAAACTTTGAAACTCATGCATTATAAAATTAATAAGCAAAAACCAATTACAGGGGGAAAAACTGAAAAAGAAGATTTTCCAAAAGAAATTACTACCAAGGGATCCAAAAGCAAGGTATGTTTCAGACATATTCTGAACATTAATTTATACGTGTTATAAAACATATATCAATAATTGGTAATAACCTGCTTGGTTGATGGACCAACTGCTTTCCCATCATTAGGTTCTTCTACTTTAACTGTAACTTCAGCATCAGTTGCGACTGTGCTCTTTCTTTTTGAGACACTGGGCTTAAGATGTTCCAAAGATGGTCGGAGCTGAACAACTGCATGAATAGGATTCAAGTGCAACTGCAATGTAAAAGTGATCTTAGAACACCAATATATGTCAAGGATCAAAAAACTCCTACCAGTTAATTCTCATATCAGAACTAACTACTAAGCAATGAGTATACAAGTTAAAATCAAAGAACAGTAGCAGAAGATCAAACTAAATCTGTTTTGATATCACAAAGGAGAGCTTAAATGTCAAATATTATTTGACTAGTTTCAAACGAGCTAATTCAAGAGACACTATATATGCATACCTTATCACCCGTTAAAACTCCAACAGCAAAGCCAGTTGCACGAGGTGGCAGCCATGAAGAAGATAAAGTCTGAAAATGAGCCATGATGCATAATATCAGATTATGATGCAAAATTGCACAAAAGAAGGCGAAAAAAACACATTAAGACAAGGTTACAAATGAATCAAAGCCACTTTAATCTTGTTTAATTAGGCCAAAACCCAATGTAGTAATGCAACTTATGAATAGTAGCAGCAGCAGTAGCAGTTGTATGTAGAATTTTGATTGATACAAAGCTCTCTAAACAAATTTCCAGAAAACTATAAATCTATAGATAATTGAAATTTGATCCAAATGTGAAATCAGAGCCAAACCTGCTTTGTTATCTTCAATTTGCTAGCACATTCACTGTCATAATTGTTGGAATCAACATCGACAGACATCTCAATTTCCACTTCCCCGCTCGAAGGTTTCACCCTTACCTAAAAAATAAATTCATAATAAAATTAGTTCAAAAAAAAAAGAAGAAAAAACAAATTAAAACGAAAAAATAAATAACGAACCTCCTCGCATCGTTCATCTAATTCGTATGGTCGCCAGCAAGGTCTTAGAGGATATTGCAAAACATATAGCTGCAATTTTATTCCAAAGAAAACATTAAGTAAAGCTATAAATTAAACAAAAATCAATATATATATATATATGCAATTACCTGCGTGTTGGCATCGATTGAAGGAGTGAAGTAAACGTCGATTTCGCGAACAACCATATCTTCTTCTCCTTGTTCTTCTTCTTTGTTTTCTTCGTTCATAATCTCATCTTCTTTAGCTTCTTCTTCAATCTCCATCTTCACCGCGCCATTTGAAAGCGATTGTTCGGCTTTCGGTTCTGCAACCACCGGCGGCTTTAAATCCTCTACTTCATTTTCTTTCTTCTTCGAAATTGATTCTGGTGGTGGTGGTGGTGGTGGTTCGGGTTTCGCAGTGACCTGAGGCTCTTGTTTGGATGACGATTTGGCTTTTGGCTTGGAGTTTGGTTTGAGCTTGGGTGCGAATTTGGTGGTTCGCGTATTGGCCTGGCTTGGACCCTCGAGCTCGGCTAGATCGTCCAGTTCCATTTTCAAAGTTTTATCGGAGTTGCTCAGATCACCGGTGAGGGTTTTGTGGCTTTGCCGCCGTGAGTTTTAACCGCCTCTGGGAGTAAAGGGTGCAGTATAAACATGTAAAGCGGCTCTGGGCTTGAATGTGGACCACCCATAAATAGTCAGGGCCAATGTGCTGTCGTTTTGGAGAAATTCTAAATTTCTAATGTTCCTTTCGTTTTTAATTAAATATATATATTTTAAACTACTATAACATTTGGAATTAAATCAAAATAAGATATGAATATTTGGCATTAATATATCATGGTATGAATAACGAAAAATATAAAGCAAAAAAATAAAGGTAAAATTATAAATAAAGTTATTAATGTTGAGCGAGTTTTTTTTTTTTTTTGGCATTAGAAAGATCAAAGAAAGTGTGCAAATCCAATTATTTTTTAATTTTTATTTTTGTTTCTTAACAAAAGAAATAAATAGTAAAAAAAAAAAAGTCCTCACAATATTTTCTTCATTTCTTTTTCTTTTTTACTAAACGCAATGCAAATACATTTCAACTCTTTTATGTTAATTTACTATTAGTAAATTTGGGTTGGATGGTAGTCAAACTATTTTGGTCTACTTTAGCGTGTAATTGTGATTAAAAATCACAAAAAAAAAAAAAAAACTGCCAATGATAATTAATTTATTGTAATAGAAAATATTTTTATTTATAAAATTTATGTGATTTTATATTATAATTTGAGACGACTAAAAGATTACACTATTAATTTGAATTTTATTAAAATTTCATAAACCTAAATTAAAACTGAACTAAATGAATAAAATCGATTAAAATATTGTATTATAAATATTAATGAGATAATTTTTATTAATATCCATACTTTTTGTATTGTTTATAATGTATATTGTATATAATGTACACAAAAAAAATAGATTATGTCTTCTATTCCTTGATTTAGTGGCTAAAAAATTTTTAAAAAGATTTTAAAAATTTTAATTTCGATCCAATATTCCTTCTTTTTCTCTTATGAGTTATGTTATATATATATATATATATATATATGTATGTGTGTGTATATAGTTAATAACATAAAAAAAAATTGTTAAAAAAGTGCTTAAAGAGTAAGCTATTATATGAAAATCTACAAAATTATAACCCTCCACACTTTCATTAAAATACAAAACCACGTAGATATAGCATCCATATCACGATCTTTAGGTTAGTTTTCTTGTTGGAATGTCTTCAAAGGACAATTCAATATTTAGGACTTAAAATTGCATCAAAAGATCTCAAGTTCTTTTAAGAATGAGATTTATGTAATAACAACTAGTTTGGATAATTCAAAAGAATATATGTTTTATAGTGAAAAAAAATTCGAAATCTCTTAAATTTAAATTGTCACATTCATTTAAATTTTATATTAATAAGATGAAAGGTTGTATGTACCATTTTTATATAACTGCTTCTTAAAAATTAAAGGCTCAAATTAAGAATTTAAATTATATAATTATTTTTAAAAATAATATTAAATAAATTTAAAATTTTAAATCTTAATGTTTTAATTTTTTTTAATTTTTATACTGCGATATCTTTTGTAAAAACAAAAAAAGCGATATTAATTAATAATTAGCATTCATAATTGCCTTGGGCCCTGTCCAAACATATTATCTGGGCCAGAGACAGCCACAACCTGTTCGGTCTTGGTCTCTTTTGGCGAATCATCGGCGTCCAAGTAATGGAGAAATATTTGTTGGGTTGGGCCCAATATGGCCCAAATTTGCATTTGAAAGAAAGGTCCACTTTTGTCAGTAATATAGGATCTGGCAGCCCAATTCACAAGTTTGATCCAAAAGGACCAATTATATTATATTTATTAATATTCTCGGGCCAAGAAAAAAAAAAGTTTACGAAAAATTGCACCAAAAATAAATTAAAAGCAGGTTGCGTTGAAGAACATCATTCCTTTTAGTCAATCTATAAAGGCTTGAATCGATGTGGTTTTGTCACGATATTTTCGTCTCGGAATTTCTATGAGAACCTCACTGCAACAATCTTAATTGCCACTTTTTTTTTTTTTTCACATGATATATTAAAAGTAAATGTGACAATTCGCGTATTAATATAATGTATAATATAAAAAATTTATATATTTATATAATATTTTATACAAAATTTATGTGTTATAATTTATATTGATGTGAATATATAAAATATAATTTTTATTTTTATTAAATTTATTTATAATTTTTAATAAAATTTTAAATTATATTATTTTCATATTTTTATTTATATAAATTTTTATCGTATAATTGTATTGTATTTAAAATTATCATTTTCCTTTTATTGTTATTTGCATGGGAGAGATGGGGCTTGTAAATGAAAGAAGACAAAATTTTATACAAAGAATATTAACTTTTTTTTTCCTTTTTTATTAATGTCATTGTCCACTCAAGGTTCTTTATTTTCCAGTTCTTTTATATATATATATATATATATATATATATTTATATATATGATCAGTCGCAGCAAATCCATATTAATTTGACTTTGAAGCATAAGAAAAAAAAAAAAAAAAGAGGAAATCATATAGAAATATTCAAATCTGAATTTTTTTTATTTTTTATTTTGGAAGCATCAATAAAATTCCTGATCATAATTATAACACTTTGGACTCCTTTTCCCTCCATTTCTCCACTAGTTATCTGAAAGCACTTTGCTCTAGGATGGTAAAACAGGTGAGTCCCTGATGATTTTAATCTCCTGTCAAACAAGCTTTTGAGTATAGATTTGAAGGGAAAGACAGGATTTCAATGATTAATTATCTTGTTGAGAAAGCATTGGATAGTTTACTTTCCAAGAATGACAGAATCCAAAGCGCCCCCATTGCAATCCTTTTAAAAATAGATTATGACTGTTCTTCTGTTCTTTCTTGATTGATCCAATCATGGAAGGTTTCCCCTGTAGGATGTATATTCCAACCTGGAACTCTTTCCCTAGAAGAAGAAAGGCTTTTGAGTATGAAAACAATATCAGAAAAATGTAAATGCCACAACTCGGGAGGGGATGTTTCTTGTATGGCAAAACCTATTGTTTCCACCGTTGATTTCGAGCTATGATAAATGATTTAATCCAACACATTTATGGACTGTCATAAGATCAACTACCCTTCTCTATAAACATAAATTCAGTATTTTTTTTGTCATAGCTGCAGCATCATTAGAATGGGACATCATTGTAACCAATGACATATCCTGTCCCTATCAATTCACAAGGGTGGGGCAATTTTTGGGGAAATATATGGACATGTTTGAAAATTGGAACTTGTTAGAGGAATAAGATATTCACTTCCGCTAGCTGCTCGTTTCTACTGATCTCTTTTCTCAGAGAAGACTGAAAATTGTATGATTCAGAAGTCAATGGCCTGTAGTTTTCCATTAGTTAGCGTGACCTTGTAAACCAGATCATGAAAACAACAGCGCAAGTGAAACAGGAAGATAAACAGAAGAATAGCCAAGTTTGTTAATGGTCTATTTTTTCGGTTGTATCAGTAGATTTGACAATCTACTATATAATGACATGATACCAAAAAAAAATATAAATAAAATACGTGAAAATAATATAATTTAAAATTTTAATAAAAATTATAAATAAATTTAATAAAATAAAAAATATATTTTTTATATTAATACATATCATAATACTTAATTTTCATATAAAATATAATACGAATATATAAATTATCAATATTTTACATGAACACATAAATTATTAGATCTATATGTTAACAGTATCTTGCAGAGAAAACGCACTCTATTCGGTAAGCTGGTGATATTTTAGCACCCTGATTAGTCATGACTAATGAGACAGAAAGCCTGGTTGCTCTTATCATTGTAGATTTCCATAATCAAGCTTTTGGGTATCTTTTTTTTCATGGATCAATGGTGAAATAGTTGCTTCTGATGAGATACCAAAAGCAGTTGGCGCTTTTTACCTCAGGCACATTGCCGCCAGGCTCCTTCAGGAAAATGGGGCCCGGCTGGATTATGGCCAGTAGGAAAACAAGAAGGCAGATATATATTGGGTTAAAAGGAAAATTCTTTTCCTTTATAATCCGACATTTTTGCGCTGATATGACACTTCATTTCCTGTTGAAGCTTGGATACTGGTAAAGCAGCGTTCAAAGTCCAGAATCCAGAAAGGCTAGAGGGATTAAGTTTATCAGCGATGGAAATAGTACCATTGGCTAACCTGATTAAGCTGAGATTTTGATGGCAAAGGTGGCCTTGCCGTATCAGAAGTGGAAAAAAAATAACATTGTGGAGGGCCCATATCACGCCTAGCTAGAATAATGCAGAGGTTGAATTAGAAAAAAAGGGCGAAAAAAGAAAAAGAAAAATAAAAAGCACCCATAGTCAATGCAAGTTATGATGGACCTAGCAGAAAAAAGAAAAAAAAAACATGCCGGCATTTTGGTTGAATATCCCTTCTAAGCTCTTATTTAGAAACTCAAAACCCTATTGGCATTATCATCAAACTAAAACAAAAATAAAATATAAAGATCATACTACTCAAAATCTCCTTTTATTCAAGTGCTAGTTAATGAACAACAAAAGATAGTTCAAAAATGTCAATGACATCTTGATTTAGTGTTAAAGAAAAAGGTTCAAAATAAGATATATAATTATTTAATTAATTTTATATTTATATTTATTTATTTTATTTTATATTTATATTAAAAATAATATTTTATTAATTTTAAATCAAATTAAATATCATTTTATATAAATCAAATCGAATAGAATTTAAATATAAAAACATTAAAAAAATCGAATTAAATTTAAGTATTATACATATAATCAAATCAAATTTGAGGTGAAAGAAACTCAATCCATTTCGACTCGTTGCTGTTCGATGGTCGCTGGTTTGATTGTAAGTTTGGTGGGTTTGTTCATCTTTCAAAAGTTGAGGTATATTACCTACAGCTAACAGAGAGGATTTTTGTTATTCTCCAAGGGTTGTCTTTTCTCATTTTTTGAGAAATTGAAGGACATCTCCTTGCCATGTACCACAAAAGTAGTTGAAAAATCTTTTTTTATTGCAAGTCTCCTTATAACCTGTGACAACAATAGACATAGATTGTGCCCAATCATCTATGATTTTTTCATAGTCTTTAAGAGGGACTTTGGTTAAGTCTAAATAAGTACCGCATTGAGAAATCGTTCGTTTGTTT